TTCCTGTAACATGTCAACAAATGAATAAGTGTAGGTTTGGGTCGTCCGCAAACATGTTTAACCCCGCCACATTTTGTATGTGCCTGTCACAAGCCAGGAGCCTGTAATTCAGTAGTTGTCGTTTGTTGCTGTATATCATATTTGTTTTTTTGTTTATTGTTTTGTTCATAAATCAGGCCTTTAGTTTTCTCGTTTGAATTATTTTACATTTGTCATTTCAGAGCCTTTTATAGCTTGCATTGCGGTATGGGTTTTACTCATCGTTGAAGGCCATACGGTGACCTATATATAGTTGCTAACCTTCTACGTCATTTGCTTTTTGGTGGAGAGTTGTCTCATTGGCTACCATACCACATCTTCTTATTTTTATATTTATTTCAATAATGTGTTTCATCAACAAAAATCTAATACACAATTTGGTTTTATCATATTAGTGACAGGTTTAATGCAATGAGGCAGCATTCCTTTATATTTCGATTTTTTTTGGGGACATATTTGCACTCGTTTACTAAGTTGCCTCATCAATATACATACGATTAACAAGTGAAAATGTTTACCATGTCGGACTCCAGGACTTATCAACTCTTGTTCCACTTTCTTCCAAAATGAATCCATATCAACTGTTTCGGGTAATTCTGTAAAATCTGCCGGTGCAACCGTATCTGAAACTGTACCAGACATGACAATGCAATCAAATCGTTAAATTATTTCTACTGCAAGTCTGAGAAGCTAAGCCTCAAAAATGAAGCAAAGACATATTCAAGGGAATGATTAAAATATCTGTGACTGGAGTATTGGTGTATAACTATTCTGTCAACTCACTGGTTCCTTAAATGTCATTGCAAGTGAATTTAAACAACATTTTAATATGAAGGTGGGAAACCAAAAACATACTTTTGTTTTATTATTTTACTACCTATTTCTTCTGCATGGTGTAAATAAATAAATATAAAGCTTTTACTCCAATTCATGTTGTATCTCGAGAACATTGCCGGAGATCTTATAGTTATTTTCATTTAGGAAATATTTTGTGTAATGATATTAATTAAGGACGTATAGCAAGTTAGTAATATGCAGTGATTTGTAATTATATCCTTCTTTGGTTTGTTATATCAAAGTTAGAAGAATATACGTGACACAGAATAAAGGAAGTCAATCAAATTTGCGTAACTGTAAGGAAAAAGGTTGTCTAGAAGGTTGTCTAGAATGGATCAAGTGTGACAAATTGTATAAAGTGAAGGATTTATTCTTCGAACCGCATGCTTTAAAACGATAATCACAAAAACGTGAAATCCGACCTAGACTAAATAAGGGGACCTTTTAAAATTTGTGTGAACACAATTATATCATATATCATATATATATATATGGATAACTAATACTTATACCAACCGGCATGTCGAAAACAAGTCTTTCGTATACCGTCCATCACAATCGTTGTCGGAAAGAAGCCACACAGATAGCAGTAGAAAGAATATGAATGCTCAGTTAGTGCTTCAAACATCAAATAAGCATTCGTTAGGTCATGAAGCCTCAGATTTTCGTCTAGTGTATCTGCCAGCATGTTTATCGTTCTACTAATTGCCACATGATTCTATAAGAAGAGTAAACATTTCCTTATTAAATATTTCAATCAAACTTTCTGTTTTGTGATCCATCATCTTAATAGAAAACTGCAAAATAAGTCGGCTTAATAAATTCTTCTACATCCAGGTCCATGTGCTCCACAGAGATTCAAATAGTAAACAATCATATCATAACCACGTTTCAGCTTAAGGCCTCCTCTGATCATTTGAAGGTCCCTATTTAAATTGGTTACTTAAATTACATTAAATATTGTTTCATCTCGGCCTCTAGTAGGTGTTCTACCACCAATCTTTCAATTCTTTTAACTAGTTCCCTTACTACTATCAAAGAAATCATTATCATTTGTGAAAAAGCATATGAAAGAAATGAAATAAACTATTTTGGAGTGTAAAAAATTCTTTGGATGTTTTATATATAAATAATTGGGTTGGGTGCCCGCAAACATGTTTAACCCTGCCACATTCTGTATTTGCCTGTCCCAAGTCTGGAACCTGTAAATCAGTGGTTGTCGTTGGTTGCTGTATATCATATTTGTTTTTCGTAAATTCTTTTGTACATAAATCAGGCCGTTAGTTTTCTCGTTTGAATTATTTTACAATTCATTTCGGGGCATTTGATAGCTTTCTTTGCGGTATTGGTTTTGTTCATTGACGAAGGTCGTATGGTGACCTATAGTTGCTTACTTTTATATCATTTTGGTCCCTGGTGGAAAGTTTTCTCCTTGGCTATCATACCACCACATCTTCTTATTTTTATAAAGATTACTAAAATTTACATGTTTGGTTCTGGATTGACTAGGTGTTGGTTCTGGATTTACATGTTTGGTTCTGGATTGACACGTTATATATATACCATATACAGACTTGGTCCTTGATTGACAAGGTTTGGTTCTAGATTTACATGTTTGGTTCTGGATTGACAAGGTGTTGGTTCTGGATTTACATGTTTGGTTCTAAATTGACACGTTATATTTATACCATATACAGACTTGGTTCTGGATTGACAAGGTGTTGGTTCTGGATTTACATGTTTGGTTCGATTGACACGTTATATATATACCATATACAGACTTGGTTCTGGATTGACAAGGTGTTGGTTCTAGATTTACATGTTTGGTTCTGGATTGACACGTTATATTTATACCATATACAGACTTGGTTCTGGATTGACAAGGTGTTGGTTCTGGATTTACATGTTTGGTTCTGAATTAACACGTTATATTTATACCATATACAGACTTGGTTCTGGATTGACAAGGTGTTGGTTCTAGATTTACATGTTTGGTTCTGGATTGACACGTTATATTTATACCATATACAGACTTGGTTCTGGATTGACAAGGTGTTGGTTCTGGATTTACATGTTTGGTTCTGAATTAACACGTTATATTTATACCATATACAGACTTGGTTCTGGATTGACAAGGTGTTGGTTCTAGATTTACATGTTTGGTTTTGGATTGACACGTTATATTTATACCATATACAGACTTGGTTATGGATTGACCAGGTGTTGGTTCTAGATTTACATGTTTGGTTCTGGATTGACGCGTTTTATATATATACCATATACAGACTTGGTTATGGATTGACAAGGTGTTGGTTCTAGATTTACATGTTTGGTTCTGGATTGACAAGGTGTTGGTTCTAGATTTACATATTTGGTTCTGGATTAACACGTTATATTTATACCATGTACAAACTTGATTCTGGATTGACAAGGCGTTGGTTCTAGATTTTCTTGTTTGGTTCTGGATTTACATGTTTGGTTCTGAATTATCACGTTATATTTATACCATATACAGACTTGGTTCTGGATTGACAAGGTGTGAGTTCTAGATTTACATGTTTGGTTCTGTATTAACACGTTATATATGTACAATATACAGACTTGGTTCTGGATTGACAAGGTGTTGGTTCTAGATTTACATGTTTGGTTCTGGATTGACAAGGTGTTGGTTCTAGATTTACATGTTTGGTTCTGGACTAACACATAATATTTATACCATGTACAGACTTGGTTCCGGATTGACAAGGCGTTGGTTCTAGATTTACTTGTTTGGTTCTGAATTTACATGTTTGGTTCTGAATTAACACGTTATATTTATACCATATACAGACTTGGTTCTGGATTGACAAGGTGTTGGTTCTAGATTTACATATTTGGTTCTGGATTGACACGTTATATATGTACCATATACAGACTTGGTTTTGGATTGACAAGGTGTTGGTTCTAGATTTTCATGTTTGGTTTTGGATTGACACGTTATATATATACCATATACAGACTTGGTTCTGGATTGACAAGGTGTTGGTTCTAGATTTACAAGTTTAGTTCTGGATTGACAAGGTGTTGGTTCTATAGATTTACATGTTTGGTTCTTGATTAACACGTTATATTTATACCATGTACAGACTTGATTCTGGATTGACAAGGCGTTGGTTCTAGATTTACTTTTTTGGTTCTGGATTTATATGTTTGGTTCTGAATTAACACGTTGTATTTTTACCATATACAGACTTGGTTCTGGATTGACAAGGTGTTGGTTCTAGATTTACATGTTTAGTTCTGGATTAACACATTATATTTATACCATGTACAGACTTGGTTTTGGATAAACATGGTGTTGGTTCTAGATTTACATGTTTGGTTCTGGATTTTAACGTTTTTGTATAGCATATACAGACTTGGTTCAGGATTGACAAGGTGTTGGTTCTATAGATTTACATGTTTGGTTCTGGATTCACATGTTATATAGATACCATATACAGACTTGGTTCTAGATTTACATGTTTGGTTCTGGATGCTTACGTTATATCTATACCATAAACAGATTAAATCATTTGGTTCTGAATTAACATGGTGTTGGTTCTAGATTTACATGTTTGGTTCTGGATTGACACGTTATATTTATACCATATACAGACTTGGTTCTGGATTGACAAGGTTTTGGTTCTGGATTTACATTTTTGGTTCTGGATTGACACGTTATATTTATACCATAAACAGACTTGGTTCTGGATTGACACGTTATATTTATACCATAAACAGACTTGGTTCTGGATTGACACGTTATATTTATACCATATACAGACTTGGTTCTGGATTGACTAGGTGTTGGTTCTGGATTTACATGTTTGGTTCTGGATTGACACGTTATATATATACCATATACAGACTTGGTTCTGGATTAACAATGCGTTGGTTCTAAATTTGCATGTTTGGTTCTGGATTAGCACGTTATATATATTCCATATACAGACTTGGTTCATATATACACCTTATATATATATATAGACATAGGTGTATCGTTGTTCAGTCTTTTTCGAAGGGAAAGAAGATTTTAAAAATTCAGAGGGGAAAAATACAGTGTAAGTATAACAATAAATTACAGAGATTTACGTTACAATAACATGAGGGTCTGGATGGGGTATTCATAGAGAAATATGGCAAAAAAATATAACACGTATAATGAATAGAGAAAAATGAGCAGAAAATATAAAGAATAGAGAATAACTGGAAAATAAAAGAATTGTGTAATACTTTACTGATTAGAGAAATGAACGATGTACAGAATAAAGAAGTCCTCCAATTACAGAAAATTTTAATTGTAAAATTATTTAAGCGTTATTCTTACAGATAAAGAAAAATGCCCTAAAAATTGAAAGAAGACAGAAATTAAGGATCCCCCATCCATACCCTCTTACATGGCTTCATCCTTATTTTACTTAAGGGGACGGGCATTTGATATTCTGGGTTTTTGTGGATTGGCTATTTATTTACATCTGTTCATGGCTACGCATGCATATTTTTTTAGCGGATTCCCCCCCCCCCCCCACCCCTCCCCCGAAAATCAAATAGTCGTCCACTAAACAGAACGAAGAAAAAAATCGCTTTCGTTTTGACGCTTTAATAATGTAGACATTTAGTAGATAATCATATTAATTTTTTTTGTCATTTAAAGATTTTTAATCATTTACATGCCTACATAAATAAACTACGTCAAATTAATCTTTCTCTTTAAATTCCAACCTCTGTTTTACTCATAAATAGTTTCACCTTCTGGTCAATGAACTTAAGTTATTTCAATCAAAGTAATTTTCACGGGGGAGAAAATGCTTGTGTAATAGTAATCGTATTTTAATATTTTAGAAATACTCATAAATGTAGTAATTATAGACATTGTGTCATGATCGTTCTGTCTGATATCTTTGAAAAAAACACATATTACATTCTAATTTTGAATAAGACTAATTTAATATGTATAAAACTGGGACTAATAGATAAATGTTTCAATTAGTCCCAGATATAAAATAAATACACATTTTTTTTTACTTTACTGGTACAGTGAAGCGTTCATCAACCCAATACCTAAGCTTTCAATAATTTCTTTTTTTTTGGTACAATTGTATCTTCAAAAATAAGGTCAACAAGCGTTTGTAAATAATTACGATAGAACTGGAACCAAATATTCATGAGGGTCTGGATGGGGGTTCCTTTATATCTTTATTCTTTAATTTTTTAGATCATTTCTCTATATTTATTATTTATTTTGCATGCCCATTATTCTTTATTCTTTATAATTGTTCACCATACTCTTCTCTATTTTTTTATTATCATTTTTGCCAATTTTTCTCTATTCTTAATTTATTCTGCACCTTTTTTTTACCATTATTCTCTTTTCTGTAAACCCCATCCAGACTCCCATTCATCAGTGCCAAACAGAACATAAATTTATGTGTCTTTAACAGAGAAAGATATTTAAATGTTGCCATTTAATTCGTGCATTTTTTTATTATCAGTTCAGCAGTTTAATGATGTCCATTGATAATTGTGTAGAAAGTGTGTTTATATCAGCTACTTAATTTGATAATAAGTCCTGTATCGTGACAGTTCACATTATCTTTTGGGTAGATATATATGTTCATTAGTAGGCTATTATGCATGTGTAACATATGGTTCTATTTTCACTTCCGGCTCTTAATTGACATAGGTTCTGTTTTCACACACGCTGATGGGTACTGTTGCATGGCGGCACGAAATACGATCTGAAATCCATTTGACGATATCTCAACGTTTCAAAACGAAGTGAAAAATATGCGCCACGCGGGCGCTTACATTTGTCACTCTATGCGCCATTTCTGGTCGTTAAGCGCAATTGGCGCAAGGCGCACGTCCTTCCCGATCACTGTAGACAGAAGCACACGAGGAAGATCAAGAAGAAACAATTATATTCATCTCTGTAAGAAATTTATCAAGCAATTTAGAAAAAAAAATCAAAATTATAGACGAAAAAACCAACAACCTATTTACTGACCTAACCGACCTATTATAAAGATATTCTCATCCTCAGTAAAAAAATGGTAGTTCTTTCTTTTCTGTGTGTCTGGTAACTTGATAAATATCTAGATAAATTTTGGTTAGAATGATAGCATATACCGGAGTTATTGCCCCTTAATTGTTAATTTTCAGTGCTTTCCACTCAAATTACAGATTGGTCTTTACTTGGACAGATGTATGCTTTTATTAAGGTAGAAATTAACAAATGAAGTTTTTAAAGACCTTGAATGGCTATATACCGTCTAACATTTATTCATGTTATACCCCTATTTTGGATTGTACAATCACACCTGTACGAAATGGGACGCCCGTAAGTGACACGGAAACCAGGCGTAGAAATCATACTTTATCAGGGCGTCATTGTAGTGTTTACGGAATGCATGTCCAGGCATCAACCAGGCATAAACCAGGCAGAAACCAAGCTTAACTGAGGCGGAAACCAGGCGTAAAATTAGGCGTAATATTTAAATGAGTACGCCGGGTCCACAGAAAACCAGGCGTTATATGCAAATTAGTACGCCTGGTCGATAAAAAAAACAGGCGTAATATCCTTACATAATACTACACTTATTTTAAATCAGTGTATTACCCTAGCTGTGTACTTTTGTGTATTTGATACAAACTTCTGTACTATTGCTTAAATTTCTCATTGTTTGACATGAAACTTGAAATATTAACCATTAATTGAAGAAGCTATATAAATAAATACATATAATAGACAGACACTGGCTCAAATAAATTTAAGTTTAAATTAGAATTACGACAATTAATTCTTCCTGAAATAAAACCAGCATTTTAACTAAGTTTTTTTGAAAATTAATGTCATTTGAACCAAAATATCAATGATAATACTGCAATTTAACTTAATGTGAAAGATTTTAATGTTATCAATGATAATTCATCCAAGGATGAAGGTTTTCAGAATTCAAAATTACTGTTAAAAAAAAACTTAGTTACTCACATAATTATCTTTTACCAATTGTATATTACTTTCCTTTTATTAGACAATTTTCATTAATCATATATTACTTTCCTTTTATTACACAATTTTCATTAATCAATTTGATTCCATAATTCCAATTTCAAATTCTTCCAAAAAGCACAAAACAAGCTTAATTATCCCTGAATATATAAAGCTGCCATAAGTCCAACTCTTGCAAAATAATAACAAAGAGCCAAATTTTGAAAAAAAAATCCCATGATCCTTTATCAATAAAGCATTATGGGTATTATGATTTACGCCATACCAATTTTTACGTCCGTAGGAAAATTTACGCCTAGCTTATTTCAATTTACACCAGGTTTACCTTATTTTCTACGCCTGTAAGGACTACAAATTTACGTTTCCTGTTCCCTTACGCCTGGATCTGGACACGTAACTACCACTTATGCCTGGTTTACGCCAGATTTCCAGGCGTAATACGCCTTATAATTTCGTACGGGCCAGTACACAATCGGTCTAGTATATTTGCCCAAATCTACAAAACAGGAGACAGATTTGCAATTTATTGGTTATACTGTTTATTTGGTAATTTATTGTTTTATACAAAACATTCAAACAAATATATTGTGTTTTAGCTCATCACTTGGCGTCACTCATCTGTCGTCATTAACTTTTACAAAAATCATCTTCTCTGAAACTACTGGGCCATATGTAACCAAACTTATCTGATCCGGTTGAAAATGTTTATCAGGTCAAGATCTATCTGCCCTGAAATTTTTAGATTAAATGGACAACCTATTGTTGGATTTATGCCCTGGAATTGGTACTTTGCAGTAAAGTTTGCAGTTTTTAAACCACCGCAAAAACTAAAAATTAACAATAACTTGTGTGCAATTGTATGGATCTCTCTGACATTGTACCACAAGGTTTCATATAACAAAGGAAAGGCTGGCATTGAGTTTTTGGGTTCTTGCTCCAATGGGGGTTTGGATAAACTGGGGGCCAAAAAAGGGGCATTTTTGTAGTTTCCAGTCAATAACTTGTGTTTAAGTGTATAAATGACTCTCTGAAATTATACCACAAGTTTGCATACTACAAAAGGATGGTTATGGGGGTTATGGCTCAAATCATTTAGCCAATAGGGGCAAAAAAGGGGGGAAAACAAGGGTTTTACTGGTTAAAGGACAATTTAGACAATTTAAAAGCAGTGTAAGGGAGGTTCTCCAATTCCATTTAAAGAATACTGTTATAGATATGTTTGATTAACTCCCTTACACTGCGTGAAAATTATGTATTAAGAAATGATGAATGTCTTGAGATGATCAGCTGTAATTTTTTTTTTAGCTCACCAACCCGAAGGGCCAAGTGAGCTTTTCTTATCACTTGGCGTCCGTAGTCCGTGGTTATCCATCGTCGTCTTCAATATGTCACCTAAAGAAAACAGTTAAATAAACAAATGCTATCAAAAGCCAGCCCAGCATGAAATTATTATTTCCCATTCGTTCGAGAATTTTAAGGATATGAAATGAACACTTTATCATATCACACTTTTATCGATCAAAAAAATTTTTTTATGAGATCAAAAGTGGTTCAGTTTAGGTTTTTAAAGATTAAATGGGTATAACCCTGCCTGCAGTTGTAGTTCATGATGCGTTTGCCCTGTGAATACTTTTATAGTATTCTCATATATGGCAATATTCAATATATTCTATCAGTAGTCATATCTACATGGGGATCTATCCATGTCTTGATTTGGACGACAGTTGTTTTAATTCGTTGGACACTTAAATTCATGGAAAAAGTCATCCACGAAAACCACGAAAATTGGATCCCCACGAATAAAAGTACTTTTACAGTATTCAAGTCTTATTTAGACAAAATTATTGAATTGGCCAATGCATGTTGGTGAGGGTAGTAAATTCAAGATTTAAAATATAAAAAAATAAATTAAAATGAGCAAGTGCAGTGTAAAATACACAGAATTATACCAGTGTGGTTCTAAAAAACACTAAGGAAATGTATTTCTGAATATTAAAGAAATCTGCAAATGCCATGAAGGGACTGTAGCAGATCGCTTTATACAAAATATCTCATCCATATTTTTACCCATTTATTCTTAAATGACTGTTTAGCTAAACCTATCTTTTGTATTTCCAGCTCAGGTCTAGGGAAGAAGAGGTCGAAAGACTGAGTGTGAACAGTGAGGAAGTTCATAGGGAACTCGAACATAAAGATGCTCTGATCCAGAAGCTGGAGTCGGACTTCTCTATTGCCAAAGAAGAAGCAAGAAAGTCGGAAGATATAGTAAGAATTAAAAAAAATTAACAATCAACTTTAAATCTTAAACTTTATTGAAAAGCACTTTACGCCCATAAATAAACAAGGCAGACACTTTGAACTATAACCCTCGTCTTTCTTTAAATCAATATATATATATAAGCGATTCAAATTATATCAAGAACTCTCTGCCCTCAGTCTAAGTGACTTTTTTTTAAAAAGGAGCCTAATTTGTTAGTGTCCTGTTTTGTTTCAGGATTGAAAATATGTTTTAATTCATCTATATCATTTTTGTTTAATTATTATATTTATTTTCATTTGAAAATTCTTTTCTTAATTGTTCATTTATTTTACATTTAAAAAAGAAATGAAACTCATCATCTAGTACATCATAATGTTAACAATAACTTGTGTGTAACTGTATGGATCTCTCTGACATTGTACCACAAGGTTTCATAGTTTCATATAACAATGGGAAGGCTTGGATTGAGTTTGGGATTAATTTCCCTGAACATGTATATAAGGGGCCAAAAAGAAGCATTTTTGTCTCGCCTTGACGGAGTCAAAAAGCGAGATATGTGTGCTGTTTCCGTCCTTGGCAGCGGCGACATCGGCATCAACAATGTATTAGTTTGTGATTAGGTCTAGTTAATGGTGAACCAGAAGTGGTAGGTCAATCATATTTAGTATGCAGTTGTATAAGCATTGGCACATCTTATTTCCATGGAGATTATATGGGCCTGCCCCCTCAGTCATGGTCTATTGACTTCGAAACTTTTGCTTATTATACCCTACGCAACGAGTTTTTGACCCGTCTGTCCGTCCGTCAGTCCTATTTCTTGTCATCTCAACTCCTCTCAAACCACACAACAGAATTTCACGAAACCTTTTCAGATAATAAGGACATACAACGTAGATGTGCATATCGACAGGAAGTTACGATTCAATTTTTTTTCCAGGAGTTACGCCCCTTTGAACTTATTTGCCAAATATACTACTATATCCATTCTCAATTTTAATTTTATTGTAACTTTTTGTCATCGCAACTCCTCTCAAACCACACAACAGAATTTCATGAAACCTTTTCAAATAATGAGGACATACTACGAAGATGTGCATATCGACAGGAAATTACGATTCAATTGTTTTTCCAGGAGTTACGTCCCTTTGAACTTATTTGCCCAATATACTACTGCAACCTTTTGTCATCACAACTTCTCTCAAACCAGACAACAGAATTTCATGAAACCTTTTCTGATAATAAGGACATACTACGTAGATGTGCATATCGACAGGAAATTACGATTCTATTTTTTTTCCAGGAGTTGAAATTATCTCCCTTACACTGCTTTTAAATTATGTATAAAGTAATGGTTAATGAACAATAAAGATAATCTAAAACAGTGTAAGGGAGGTAATCCAAATACAACGTTTTGGTTACTTCCCTTACACTGCTTTTAAATTATGTTTAAAGAAATGCATATTTATAAAGGAAGACCAGTAAAAATATCTGCAAATGTTTTCATCTTTTTTTTTTACAAAAAAATCCATATGAAAGATTTGACACTATATTTTTATTAATTCTATTATAAAATAGATTAAGTTAGCACTATGGTAAATTTAAATGGGTAATTATGGTTGCCAACTCCATTGGAAATTTGAATTGAGATTATGACCATATCTTGAGGGAAAGAATTTTTGGGGGGAAAAAGGGGGGGGGGGGGATAAAAAGAAATTGTGGGGGGCCAATTTTTTCTCATTTCAGATTTCAGAAATTAAAAAGAATTATTCTTCAAATATTATTTTTTTTTCAAATTTCAAATATTGAAAAATTTCAAGAAGTAATCTTTAATTGCACAGTATGGCGCATTAGATTTGTAAAATCTTTGATCACATTTATTTATTTGTTATGCCGAATCTAACAGTGGATTTAGATTTTTAATTTTGGGTCCAGTTTTCAAATTGGTCTACATTAATGTCCAAAGGGTCCAAAATTAAACTTTGTTTGATTTTAGCAAAAATTGAATATATGAGGTTCTTTGATATGCTGAATCTAAACATGTATTTAGATTTTTGATTTTTGGCCCAGTTTTCAAGTTGGTCCAAATTGGGGTCCAAAATTAAACTTTGTTTGATTTCAACAAAAATTGAATATATGGGGTTCTTTGATATGCTGAATCTAACCATGTATTTAGATTTTTTATTTGTGGACCCCGTTATCTAATTGGTTCATATTGAGGTCAAAAGGGTCCAAAATTAAACTTTGTTTGATTTCATCTAAAATTGAATTATTGGGGTTCTTTGATATTCCAAATCTAACCGTGTATTTAGGTTTTTAATTTTGGGTCCTGTTTTTTAAATTGGTCTACATTGAGGTCCAAAGGGTCCAAAATTAAACTTAGTTTGATTTTGACAAAAATTGAATTCTTGGGGTTCTTTGATTTGCTGAATCTAAACATGTGTTTAGATTTTTGATTATGGGCCCAGTTTTCAAGTTGGTCCAAGATAGGGTCCAGTATTTAAACTTTGTTTGATTTCAACAAAAATTGAATATATGGGGTTCTTTGATATGCTGAATCTAAACATGTATTTAGATTTTTGATTATGGGCCCAGTTTTCAAGTTGGTCCAAATTGGGGTCCAAAATTAAACTTTGTTTGATTTCAACAAAAATTGAATATATGAGGTTCTTTGATATGCTGAATCTAACCATGTATTTAGATTTTTTATTTGTAGGCCCCGCTATCAAATTGGTTCATATTGAGGTCAAAAGGGTCCAAAATTAAACTTTGTTTGATTTCATCGAAAATTGAATTATTGGGGTTCTTTGATATGCCAAATCTAACCGTATTTTTAATTTGGGTCCCGTTTTTTAAATTGGTCTTCATTGAGGTCCAAAGGGTCCAAAATTAAACTTAGTTTGATTTTAACAAAAATTGAATTCTTGGGGTTCTTTGATATGCTGAATCTAAACATGTGTTTAGATTTTTGATTATGGGCCCAGTTTTCAAGTTGGTCCAAGTTGGGGTCCAAAATTAAACTTTTTTTTATTTCAACAAAAATTGAATATATGGGGTTCTTTGATATGCTGAATCTAACCATGAATTTAGATTTTTTATTTGTGGGCCCCGCTATCAAATTGCTTCATATTGAGGTCAAAAGGGTCCAAAATTAAACTTTGTTTGATTTCATCAAAAATTGAATTATTGGGATTCTTTGATATTCCAAATCTAACCGTGTATTTAGATTTTTAATTTTAAGTCCCGTTTTTTAAATTGGTCTACATTAAGGTCCAAAGGGTCCAAAATTAAACTTTAGTTTGATTTTAGCAAAAAATGAATTCTTGGGGTTCTTTGATATGCTGAATCTAAACATGTGTTTAGATTTTTGATTATGGGCCCAGTTTTCAAGTTTGTCCAAGTTGGGGTCCAAAATTAAACTTTGTTTGATTTTAACAAAAGTTGAATATATGGGGTTCTTTGATATGCTGAATCTAACCATGTATTTTGATTTTGGACATTGGACCATAATAGGTAAATTAAAAAAATTCAAGTTCTTAGACCACATTCTTTCTGTGTCAGAAACCTATGCTGTGTCAAATATTTAATAACATTCCAAATTCAGAGCTGTATCAAGCTTGAATGTTGTGTCCATACTTGCCCCAACTGTTCAGGGTTCGACCTCTGCGGTCGTATCAAGCTGCGCCCCAGCGAAGCATTTTATTTTTTCTGATACAATTTTTTTTTCTTACACTTATTTTATTTCTCCAATGACAATGTGGGGACGTGGGGTATGTGAGCACGCTCACTAAGGTTCTTTAATTCTTGATGTGTTTGCCCTTCTTTTTTTACTTGGGGCTCTTATGGATAGTAAAAAAGGCATTGTAATCGACCAGTCAAGGATTGTTGAGATGTGATATATGTCTATACATTGTAGAAAATTGTAAATATATAAAAAAAAAAAAAAAAAATTTTTTAGTGGGGTACAAAAAAGGGGGATCCATGCCCCAAATACCTGAGCAATATTCAATATATTCTATTAGGAGTCATAGCTGCATGGGGATCTATCCATGTCTTGATTTGGACGACAGTTGTTTTATTTTGTTGGACACTTAAATTTGTGGAAAAAGTCATCCACGAAAACCAAGAAAATTGGATCCCCATGAATAAAAGTACTTTTACAGTATTCAAGTCTTATTTAGACAAAATTATTGAATAAGTCTATGCATGTTGGTGAGGGTAGTAAATTCAAGATTTAAAATATAAAAAAATAAATTAAAATGAGCAAGTGCAGTGTAAAATACACAGAATTATACCAGTGTGGTTCTAAAAAACACTAAGGAAATGTATTGCTGAATATTAAAGAAATCTGCAAATGCCATGAAGGGACTGTAGCAGATCGCTTTATACAAAATATCTCATCCATATTTTTACCCATTTATTCTTAAATGACTGTTTAGCTAAACCTATCTTTTGTATTTCCAGCTCAGGTCTAGGGAAGAAGAGGTCGAAAGACTGAGTGTGAACAGTGAGGAAGTTCATAGGGAACTCGAACATAAAGATGCTCTGATCCAGAAGCTGGAGTCGGACTTTTCTATTGCCAAAAAAGAAGCAAGAAAGTCGGAAGATATAGTAAGAATTAAAAAAAATTAACAATTAACTTTAAATCTTAAACTTTATTGAAAAGCACTTTACGCCCATAAATAAACACTTTGAACTATAACCCTCGTCTTTCTTTAAATCAATATATATATATAAGCGATTCAAATTATATCAAGAACTCTCTGCCCTCAGTCTAAGTGACTTTTTTTAAAAGGAGCCTAATTTGTTAGTGTCCTGTTTTGTTTCAGGATTGAAAATATGTTTTAATTCATCTATATCATTTTTGTTTAATTATTATATTTATTTTCATTTGAAAATTCTTTTCTTAATTGTTCATTTATTTTACATTTAAAAAAGAGATGAAACTCAGCATCTAGTACATCATAATGTTAACAATAACTTGTGTGTAACTGTATGGATCTCTCTGACATTGTACCACAAGGTTTCATATAACAATGGGAAGGCTTGGATTGAGTTTGGGATTAATTTCCCTGAACATGTATATAAGGGGCCAAAAAGAAGCATTTTTGTCTCGCCTTGACGGAGTCAAAAAGCGAGACATATGTGTGCTGTTTCCGGCCTTGGCAGCGGCGACATCGGCATCAACAATGTATTAGTTTGTGATTAGGTCTAGTTCATGGTGAACCACAAGTGGTAGATCAATCATATTTAGTATGCAGTTGTATAAGCATTGGCACATCTTATTTCCATGGAGATTATATGGCCCTGCCCCCTCAGTCATGGTCTATTGACTTCGAAACTTTTGCTTATTATACCCTACGCAACGAGTTTTTGACCCGTCTGTCCGTCCGTCAGTCCTATTTCTTGTCATCTCAACTCCTCTCAAACCACACAACAGAATTTCACAAAACCTTTTCAGATAATAAGGACATACAACGTAGATGTGCATATCGACAGGAAGTTACGATTCAATTTTTTTTCCAGGAGTTACGCCCCTTTGAACTTATTTGCCAAATATACTACTATATCCATTCTCAATTTTAATTTTATTGTAACTTTTTGTCATCGCAACTCCTCTCAAACCACACAACAGAATTTCATGAAACCTTTTGAAATAATGAGGACATACTACGAAGATGTGCATATCGACAGGAAATTACGATTCAATTGTTTTTCCAGGAGTTACGTCCCTTTGAACTTATTTGCCCAATATACTACTGCAACCTTTTGTCATCGCAACTTCTCTCAAACCAGACAACAGAATTTCATGAAACCTTTTCTGATAATAAGGACATACTACGTAGATGTGCATATCGACAGGAAATTACGATTCAATTTTTTTTCCAGGAGTTATGCCCCTTTGAACTTATTTACCCAATATACTACTGCAACCTTTTGTCATAGCAACTCCTCTCAAAACACACAACAGAATTTCATGAAACTGTGTAGATAATAAGGACATACTATGTAGATGTGCATATTGACAGGAAATTATGATTCAATTTTTTTTTCTGATACAATTTTTTTTTCTTACACTTATTTTATTTCTCCAATGACAATGTGGGGACGTGGGGTATGTGAGCACGCTCACTAAGGTTCTTTAATTCTTGATGCATTTGCCCTTCTTTTTTTAATTGGGGCTCTTATGGATAGTAAAAAAGGCATTGTAATCGACCAGTCAAGGATTGTTGAGATGTGATATATGTCTATACATTGTAGAAAATTGTAAATATATAAAAAAAAAAAAAAAAAAAAAATTTTAGTGGGGTACAAAAAAGGGGGATCCATGCCCCAAATACCTGAGCAATATTCAATATATTCTATTAGGAGTCATAGCTACATGGGGATCTATCCATGTCTTGATTTGGACGACAGTTGTTTTATTTTGTTGGACACTTAAATTTGTGGAAAAAGTCATCCACGAAAACCAAGAAAATTGGATCCCCATGAATAAAAGTACTTTTATAGTATTCAAGTCTTATTTAGACAAAATTATTGAATTAGTCTATGCATGTTGGTGAGGGTAGTAAATTCAAGATTTAAAATATAAAAAAATAAATTAAAATGAGCAAGTGCAGTGTAAAATACACAGAATTATACCAGTGTGGTTCTAAAAAACACTAAGGAAATGTATTGCTGAATATTAAAGAAATCTGCAAATGCCATGAAGGGACTGTAGCAGATCGCTTTATACAAAATATCTCATCCATATTTTTACCCATTTATTCTTAAATGACTGTTTAGCTAAACCTATCTTTTGTATTTCCAGCTCAGGTCTAGGGAAGAAGAGGTCGAAAGACTGGGTGTGAACAGTGAGGAAGTTCATAGGGAACTCGAACATAAAGATGCTCTGATCCAGAAGCTGGAGTGGGACTTTTCTATTGCCAAAGAAGAAGCAAGAAAGTCGGAAGATATAGTAAGAATTAAAAAAAATTAACAATCAACTTTAAATCTTAAACTTTATTGAAAAGCACTTTACGCCCATAAATAAACAAGGCAGACACTTTGAACTATAACCCTCGTCTTTCTTTAAATCAATATATATATATAAGCGATTCAAATTATATCAAGAACTCTCTGCCCTCAGTCTAAGTGACTTTTTTTTAAAAAGGAGCCTAATTTGTTAGTGTCCTGTTTTGTTTCAGGATTGAAAATATGTTTTAATTCATCTATATCATTTTTGTTTAATTATTATATTTATTTTCATTTGAAAATTCTTTTCTTAATTGTTCATTTATTTTACATTTAAAAAAGAAATGAAACTCAGCATCTAGTACATCATAATGTTAACAATAACTTGTGTGTAACTGTATGGATCTCTCTGACATTGTACCACAAGATTTCATATAACAATGGGAAGGCTTGGATTGAGTTTGGGATTAATTTCCCTGAACATGTATATAAGGGGCCAAAAAGAAGCATTTTTGTCTCGCCTTGACGGAGTCAAAAAGCGAGACATATGTGTGCTGTTTCCGGCCTTGGCAGCGGCGACATCGGCATCAACAATGTATTAGTTTGTGATTAGGTCTAGTTCATGGTGAACCACAAGTGGTAGATCAATCATATTTAGTATGCAGTTGTATAAGCATTGGCACATCTTATTTCCATGGAGATTATATGGCCCTGCCCCCTCAGTCATGGTCTATTGACTTCGAAACTTTTGCTTATTATACCCTACGCAACGAGTTTTTGACCCGTCAGTCCTATTTCTTGTCATCTCAACTCCTCTCAAACCACACAACAGAATTTCACAAAACCTTTTCAGATAATAAGGACATACAACGTAGATGTGCATATCGACAGGAAGTTACGATTCAATTTTTTTTCCAGGAGTTACGCCCCTTTGAACTTATTTGCCAAATATACTACTATATCCATTCTCAATTTTAATTTTATTGTAACTTTTTGTCATCGCAACTCCTCTCAAACCACACAACAGAATTTCATGAAACCTTTTGAAATAATGAGGACATACTACGAAGATGTGCATATCGACAGGAAATTACGATTCAATTGTTTTTCCAGGAGTTACGTCCCTTTGAACTTATTTGCCCAATATACTACTGCAACCTTTTGTCATCGCAACTTCTCTCAAACCAGACAACAGAATTTCATGAAACCTTTTCTGATAATAAGGACATACTACGTAGATGTGCATATCGACAGGAAATTACGATTCAATTTTTTTTCCAGGAGTTATGCCCCTTTGAACTTATTTACCCAATATACTACTGCAACCTTTTGTCATAGCAACTCCTCTCAAAACACACAACAGAATTTCATGAAACTGTGTAGATAATAAGGACATACTATGTAGATGTGCATATTGACAGGAAATTATGATTCAATTTTTTTTTCTGATACAATTTTTTTTTCTTACACTTATTTTATTTCTCCAATGACAATGTGGGGACGTGGGGTATGTGAGCACGCTCACTAAGGTTCTTTAATTCTTGATGCGTTTGCCATTCTTTTTTTACTTGGGGCTCTTATGGATAGTAAAAAAGGCATTGTAATCGACCAGTCAAGGATTGTTGAGATGTGATATATGTCTATACATTGTAGAAAATTGTAAATATATAAAAAAAAAAAAAAAAAAAAAATTTTAGTGGGGTACAAAAAAGGGGGATCCATGCCCTTAATACCTGAGCAATATTCAATATATTCTATTAGGAGTCATAGCTACATAGGGATCTATCCATGTCTTGATTTGGACGACAGTTGTTTTATTTTGTTGGACACTTAAATTTGTGGAAAAAGTCATCCACGAAAACCAAGAAAATTGGATCCCCATGAATAAAAGTACTTTTACAGTATTCAAGTCTTATTTAGACAAAATTATTGAATTAGTCTATGCATGTTGGTGAGGGTAGTAAATTCAAGATTTAAAATATAAAAAAAATAAATTAAAATGAGCAAGTGCAGTGTAAAATACACAGAATTATACCAGTGTGGTTCTAAAAAACACTAAGGAAATGTATTGCTGAATATTAAAGAAATCTGCAAATGCCATGAAGGGACTGTAGCAGATCGCTTTATACAAAATATCTCATCCATATTTTTACCCATTTATTCTTAAATGACTGTTTAGCTAAACCTATCTTTTGTATTTCCAGCTCAGGTCTAGGGAAGAAGAGGTCGAAAGACTGAGTGTGAACAGTGAGGAAGTTCATAGGGAACTCGAACATAAAGATGCTCTGATCCAGAAGCTGGAGTGGGACTTTTCTATTGCCAAAGAAGAAGCAAGAAAGTCGGAAGATATAGTAAGAATTAAAAAAAATTAACAATCAACTTTAAATCTTAAACTTTATTGAAAAGCACTTTACGCCCATAAATAAACAAGGCAGACACTTTGAACTATAACCCTCGTCTTTCTTTAAATCAATATATATATATAAGCGATTCAAATTATATCAAGAACTCTCTGCCCTCAGTCTAAGTGACTTTTTTTTAAAAAGGAGCCTAATTTGTTAGTGTCCTGTTTTGTTTCAGGATTGAAAATATGTTTTAATTCATCTATATCATTTTTGTTTAATTATTATATTTATTTTCATTTGAAAATTCTTTTCTTAATTGTTCATTTATTTTAAATTTAAAAAAGAAATGAAACTCAGCATCTAGTACATCATAATGTTAACAATAACTTGTGTGTAACTGTATGGATCTCTCTGACATTGTGCCACAAGGTTTCATATAACAATGGGAAGGCTTGGATTGAGTTTGGGATTAATTTCCCTGAACATGTATATAAGGGGCCAAAAAGAAGCATTTTTGTCTCGCCTTGACGGAGTCAAAAAGCGAGACATATGTGTGCTGTTTCCAGCCTTGGCAGCGGCGACATCGGCATCAACAATGTATTAGTTTGTGATTAGGTCTAGTTCATGGTGAACCACAAGTGGTAGATCAATCATATTTAGTATGCAGTTGTATAAGCATTGGCACATCTTATTTCCATGGAGATTATATGGCCCTGCCCCCTCAGTCATGGTCTATTGACTTCGAAACTTTTGCTTATTATACCCTACGCAACGAGTTTTTGACCCGTCAGTCCTATTTCTTGTCATCTCAACTCCTCTCAAACCACACAACAGAATTTCACAAAACCTTTTCAGATAATAAGGACATACAACGTAGATGTGCATATCGACAGGAAGTTACGATTCAATTTTTTTTCCAGGAGTTACGCCCCTTTGAACTTATTTGCCAAATATACTACTATATCCATTCTCAATTTTAATTTTATTGTAACTTTTTGTCATCGCAACTCCTCTCAAACCACACAACAGAATTTCATGAAACCTTTTCAAATAATGAGGACATACTACGAAGATGTGCATATCGACAGGAAATTACGATTCAATTGTTTTTCCAGGAGTTACGTCCCTTTGAACTTATTTGCCCAATATACTACTGCAACCTTTTGTCATCGCAACTTCTCTCAAACCAGACAACAGAATTTCATGAAACCTTTTCTGATAATAAGGACATACTACGTAGATGTGCATATCGACAGGAAATTACGATTCAATTTTTTTTCCAGGAGTTATGCCCCTTTGAACTTATTTACCCAATATACTACTGCAACCTTTTGTCATAGCAACTCCTCTCAAAACACACAACAGAATTTCATGAAACTGTGTAGATAATAAGGACATACTATGTAGATGTGCATATTGACAGGAAATTATGATTCAATTTTTTTTTCTGATATAATTTTTTTTTCTTACACTTATTTTATTTCTCCAATGACAATGTGGGGACGTGGGGTATGTGAGCACGCTCACTAAGGTTCTTTAATTCTTGATGCGTTTGCCCTTCTTTTTTTACTTGGGGCTCTTATGGATAGTAAAAAAGGCATTGTAATCGACCAGTCAAGGATTGTTGAGATGTGATATATGTCTATACATTGTAGAAAATTGTAAATATATAAAAAAAAAAAAAAAAAAAAATTTTAGTGGGGTACAAAAAAGGGGGATCCATGCCCTTAATACCTGAGCAATATTCAATATATTCTATTAGGAGTCATAGCTACATGGGGATCTATCCATGTCTTGATTTGGACGACAGTTGTTTTATTTTGTTGGACACTTAAATTTGTGGAAAAAGTCATCCACGAAAACCAAGAAAATTGGATCCCCATGAATAAAAGTACTTTTACAGTATTCAAGTCTTATTTAGACAAAATTATTGAATTAGTCTATGCATGTTGGTGAGGGTAGTAAATTCAAGATTTAAAATATAAAAAAAATAAATTAAAATGAGCAAGTGCAGTGTAAAATACACAGAATTATACCTGTGTGGTTCTAAAAAACACTAAGGAAATGTATTGCTGAATATTAAAGAAATCTGCAAATGCCATGAAGGGACTGTAGCAGATCGCTTTATACAAAATATCTCATCCATATTTTTACCCATTTATTCTTAAATGACTGTTTAGCTAAACCTATCTTTTGTATTTCCAGCTCAGGTCTAGGGATGAAGAGGTCGAAAGACTGGGTGTGAACAGTGAGGAAGTTCATAGGGAACTCGAACATAAAGATGCTCTGATCCAGAAGCTGGAGTGGGACTTTTCTATTGCCAATGAAGAAGCAAGAAAGTCGGAAGATATAGTAAGAATTAAAAAAAATTAACAATCAACTTTAAATCTTAAACTTTATTGAAAAGCACTTTACGCCCATAAATAAACAAGGCAGACACTTTGAACTATAACCCTCGTCTTTCTTTAAATCAATATATATATATAAGCGATTCAAATTATATCAAGAACTCTCTGCCCTCAGTCTAAGTGACTTTTTTTTAAAAAGGAGCCTAATTTGTTAGTGTCCTGTTTTGTTTCAGGATTGAAAATATGTTTTAATTCATCTATATCATTTTTGTTTAATTATTATATTTATTTTCATTTGAAAATTCTTTTCTTAATTGTTCATTTATTTTACATTTAAAAAAGAAATGAAACTCAGCATCTAGTACATCATAATGTTAACAATAACTTGTGTGTAACTGTATGGATCTCTCTGACATTGTATCACAAGGTTTCATATAACAATGGGAAGGCTTGGATTGAGTTTGGGATTAATTTCCCTGAACATGTATATAAGGGGCCAAAAAGAAGCATTTTTGTCTCGCCTTGACGGAGTCAAAAAGCGAGACATATGTGTGCTGTTTCCGGCCTTGGCAGCGGCGACATCGGCATCAACAATGTATTAGTTTGTGATTAGGTCTAGTTCATAGTGAACCACAAGTGGTAGATCAATCATATTTAGTATGCAGTTGTATAAGCATTGGCACATCTTATTTCCATGGAGATTATATGGCCCTGCCCCCTAAGTCATGGTCTATTGACTTCGAAACTTTTGCTTATTATACCCTACGCAACGAGTTTTTGACCCGTCTGTCCGTCCGTCAGTCCTATTTCTTGTCATCTCAACTCCTCTCAAACCACACAACAGAATTTCACAAAACCTTTTCAGATAATAAGGACATACAACGTAGATGTGCATATCGACAGGAAGTTACGATTCAATTTTTTTTCCAGGAGTTACGCCCCTTTGAACTTATTTGCCAAATATACTACTATATCCATTCTCAATTTTAATTTTATTGTAACTTTTTGTCATCGCAACTCCTCTCAAACCACACAACAGAATTTCATGAAACCTTTTCAAATAATGAGGACATACTACGAAGATGTGCATATCGACAGGAAATTACGATTCAATTGTTTTTCCAGGAGTTACGTCCCTTTGAACTTATTTGCCCAATATACTACTGCAACCTTTTGTCATCGCAACTTCTCTCAAACCAGACAACAGAATTTCATGAAACCTTTTCTGATAATAAGGACATACTACGTAGATGTGCATATCGACAGGAAATTACGATTCAATTTTTTTTCCAGGAGTTATGCCCCTTTGAACTTATTTACCCAATATACTACTGCAACCTTTTGTCATAGCAACTCCTCTCAAAACACACAACAGAATTTCATGAAACTGTGTAGATAATAAGGACATACTATGTAGATGTGCATATTGACAGGAAATTATGATTCAATTTTTTTTTCTGATACAATTTTTTTTTCTTACACTTATTTTATTTCTCCAATGACAATGTGGGGACGTGGGGTATGTGAGCACGCTCACTAAGGTTCTTTAATTCTTGATGCGTTTGCCCTTCTTTTTTTACTTGGGGCTCTTATGGATAGTAAAAAAGGCATTGTAATCGACCAGTCAAGGATTGTTGAGATGTGATATATGTCTATACATTGTAGAAAATTGTAAATATATAAAAAAAAAAAAAAAAAAAAAATTTTAGTGGGGTACAAAAAAGGGGGATCCATGCCCTTAATACCTGAGCAATATTCAATATATTCTATTAGGAGTCATAGCTACATGGGGATCTATCCATGTCTTGATTTGGACGACAGTTGTTTTATTTTGTTGGACACTTAAATTTGTGGAAAAAGTCATCCACGAAAACCAAGAAAATTGGATCCCCATGAATAAAAGTACTTTTACAGTATTCAAGTCTTATTTAGACAAAATTATTGAATTAGTCTATGCATGTTGGTGAGGGTAGTAAATTCAAGATTTAAAATATAAAAAAAATAAATTAAAATGAGCAAGTGCAGTGTAAAATACACAGAATTATACCAGTGTGGTTCTAAAAAACACTAAGGAAATGTATTGCTGAATATTAAAGAAATCTGCAAATGCCATGAAGGGACTGTAGCAGATCGCTTTATACAAAATATCTCATCCATATTTTTACCCATTTATTCTTAAATGACTGTTTAGCTAAACCTATCTTTTGTATTTCCAGCTCAGGTCTAGGGAAGAAGAGGTCGAAAGACTGGGTGTGAACAGTGAGGAAGTTCATAGGGAACTCGAACATAAAGATGCTCTGATCCAGAAGCTGGAGTGGGACTTTTCTATTGCCAAAGAAGAAGCAAGAAAGTCGGAAGATATAGTAAGAATTAAAAAAAATTAACAATCAACTTTAAATCTTAAACTTTATTGAAAAGCACTTTACGCCCATAAATAAACAAGGCAGACACTTTGAACTATAACCCTCGTCTTTCTTTAAATCAATATATATATATAAGCGATTCAAATTATATCAAGAACTCTCTGCCCTCAGTCTAAGTGACTTTTTTTTAAAAAGGAGCCTAATTTGTTAGTGTCCTGTTTTGTTTCAGGATTGAAAATATGTTTTAATTCATCTATATCATTTTTGTTTAATTATTATATTTATTTTCATTTGAAAATTCTTTTCTTAATTGTTCATTTATTTTACATTTAAAAAAGAAATGAAACTCAGCATCTAGTACATCATAATGTTAACAATAACTTGTGTGTAACTGTATGGATCTCTCTGACATTGTACCACAAGATTTCATATAACAATGGGAAGGCTTGGATTGAGTTTGGGATTAATTTCCCTGAACATGTATATAAGGGGCCAAAAAGAAGCATTTTTGTCTCGCCTTGACGGAGTCAAAAAGCGAGACATATGTGTGCTGTTTCCGGCCTTGGCAGCGGCGACATCGGCATCAACAATGTATTAGTTTGTGATTAGGTCTAGTTCATGGTGAACCACAAGTGGTAGATCAATCATATTTAGTATGCAGTTGTATAAGCATTGGCACATCTTATTTCCATGGAGATTATATGGCCCTGCCCCCTCAGTCATGGTCTATTGACTTCGAAACTTTTGCTTATTATACCCTACGCAACGAGTTTTTGACCCGTCAGTCCTATTTCTTGTCATCTCAACTCCTCTCAAACCACACAACAGAATTTCACAAAACCTTTTCAGATAATAAGGACATACAACGTAGATGTGCATATCGACAGGAAGTTACGATTCAATTTTTTTTCCAGGAGTTACGCCCCTTTGAACTTATTTGCCAAATATACTACTATATCCATTCTCAATTTTAATTTTATTGTAACTTTTTGTCATCGCAACTCCTCTCAAACCACACAACAGAATTTCATGAAACCTTTTGAAATAATGAGGACATACTACGAAGATGTGCATATCGACAGGAAATTACGATTCAATTGTTTTTCCAGGAGTTACGTCCCTTTGAACTTATTTGCCCAATATACTACTGCAACCTTTTGTCATCGCAACTTCTCTCAAACCAGACAACAGAATTTCATGAAACCTTTTCTGATAATAAGGACATACTACGTAGATGTGCATATCGACAGGAAATTACGATTCAATTTTTTTTCCAGGAGTTATGCCCCTTTGAACTTATTTACCCAATATACTACTGCAACCTTTTGTCATAGCAACTCCTCTCAAAACACACAACAGAATTTCATGAAACTGTGTAGATAATAAGGACATACTATGTAGATGTGCATATTGACAGGAAATTATGATTCAATTTTTTTTTCTGATACAATTTTTTTTTCTTACACTTATTTTATTTCTCCAATGACAATGTGGGGACGTGGGGTATGTGAGCACGCTCACTAAGGTTCTTTAATTCTTGATGCGTTTGCCATTCTTTTTTTACTTGGGGCTCTTATGGATAGTAAAAAAGGCATTGTAATCGACCAGTCAAGGATTGTTGAGATGTGATATATGTCTATACATTGTAGAAAATTGTAAATATATAAAAAAAAAAAAAAAAAAAAAATTTTAGTGGGGTACAAAAAAGGGGGATCCATGCCCTTAATACCTGAGCAATATTCAATATATTCTATTAGGAGTCATAGCTACATAGGGATCTATCCATGTCTTGATTTGGACGACAGTTGTTTTATTTTGTTGGACACTTAAATTTGTGGAAAAAGTCATCCACGAAAACCAAGAAAATTGGATCCCCATGAATAAAAGTACTTTTACAGTATTCAAGTCTTATTTAGACAAAATTATTGAATTAGTCTATGCATGTTGGTGAGGGTAGTAAATTCAAGATTTAAAATATAAAAAAAATAAATTAAAATGAGCAAGTGCAGTGTAAAATACACAGAATTATACCAGTGTGGTTCTAAAAAACACTAAGGAAATGTATTGCTGAATATTAAAGAAATCTGCAAATGCCATGAAGGGACTGTAGCAGATCGCTTTATACAAAATATCTCATCCATATTTTTACCCATTTATTCTTAAATGACTGTTTAGCTAAACCTATCTTTTGTATTTCCAGCTCAGGTCTAGGGAAGAAGAGGTCGAAAGACTGAGTGTGAACAGTGAGGAAGTTCATAGGGAACTCGAACATAAAGATGCTCTGATCCAGAAGCTGGAGTGGGACTTTTCTATTGCCAAAGAAGAAGCAAGAAAGTCGGAAGATATAGTAAGAATTAAAAAAAATTAACAATCAACTTTAAATCTTAAACTTTATTGAAAAGCACTTTACGCCCATAAATAAACAAGGCAGACACTTTGAACTATAACCCTCGTCTTTCTTTAAATCAATATATATATATAAGCGATTCAAATTATATCAAGAACTCTCTGCCCTCAGTCTAAGTGACTTTTTTTTAAAAAGGAGCCTAATTTGTTAGTGTCCTGTTTTGTTTCAGGATTGAAAATATGTTTTAATTCATCTATATCATTTTTGTTTAATTATTATATTTATTTTCATTTGAAAATTCTTTTCTTAATTGTTCATTTATTTTAAATTTAAAAAAGAAATGAAACTCAGCATCTAGTACATCATAATGTTAACAATAACTTGTGTGTAACTGTATGGATCTCTCTGACATTGTGCCACAAGGTTTCATATAACAATGGGAAGGCTTGGATTGAGTTTGGGATTAATTTCCCTGAACATGTATATAAGGGGCCAAAAAGAAGCATTTTTGTCTCGCCTTGACGGAGTCAAAAAGCGAGACATATGTGTGCTGTTTCCAGCCTTGGCAGCGGCGACATCGGCATCAACAATGTATTAGTTTGTGATTAGGTCTAGTTCATGGTGAACCACAAGTGGTAGATCAATCATATTTAGTATGCAGTTGTATAAGCATTGGCACATCTTATTTCCATGGAGATTATATGGCCCTGCCCCCTCAGTCATGGTCTATTGACTTCGAAACTTTTGCTTATTATACCCTACGCAACGAGTTTTTGACCCGTCAGTCCTATTTCTTGTCATCTCAACTCCTCTCAAACCACACAACAGAATTTCACAAAACCTTTTCAGATAATAAGGACATACAACGTAGATGTGCATATCGACAGGAAGTTACGATTCAATTTTTTTTCCAGGAGTTACGCCCCTTTGAACTTATTTGCCAAATATACTACTATATCCATTCTCAATTTTAATTTTATTGTAACTTTTTGTCATCGCAACTCCTCTCAAACCACACAACAGAATTTCATGAAACCTTTTCAAATAATGAGGACATACTACGAAGATGTGCATATCGACAGGAAATTACGATTCAATTGTTTTTCCAGGAGTTACGTCCCTTTGAACTTATTTGCCCAATATACTACTGCAACCTTTTGTCATCGCAACTTCTCTCAAACCAGACAACAGAATTTCATGAAACCTTTTCTGATAATAAGGACATACTACGTAGATGTGCATATCGACAGGAAATTACGATTCAATTTTTTTTCCAGGAGTTATGCCCCTTTGAACTTATTTACCCAATATACTACTGCAACCTTTTGTCATAGCAACTCCTCTCAAAACACACAACAGAATTTCATGAAACTGTGTAGATAATAAGGACATACTATGTAGATGTGCATATTGACAGGAAATTATGATTCAATTTTTTTTTCTGATATAATTTTTTTTTCTTACACTTATTTTATTTCTCCAATGACAATGTGGGGACGTGGGGTATGTGAGCACGCTCACTAAGGTTCTTTAATTCTTGATGCGTTTGCCCTTCTTTTTTTACTTGGGGCTCTTATGGATAGTAAAAAAGGCATTGTAATCGACCAGTCAAGGATTGTTGAGATGTGATATATGTCTATACATTGTAGAAAATTGTAAATATATAAAAAAAAAAAAAAAAAAAAATTTTAGTGGGGTACAAAAAAGGGGGATCCATGCCCTTAATACCTGAGCAATATTCAATATATTCTATTAGGAGTCATAGCTACATGGGGATCTATCCATGTCTTGATTTGGACGACAGTTGTTTTATTTTGTTGGACACTTAAATTTGTGGAAAAAGTCATCCACGAAAACCAAGAAAATTGGATCCCCATGAATAAAAGTACTTTTACAGTATTCAAGTCTTATTTAGACAAAATTATTGAATTAGTCTATGCATGTTGGTGAGGGTAGTAAATTCAAGATTTAAAATATAAAAAAAATAAATTAAAATGAGCAAGTGCAGTGTAAAATACACAGAATTATACCTGTGTGGTTCTAAAAAACACTAAGGAAATGTATTGCTGAATATTAAAGAAATCTGCAAATGCCATGAAGGGACTGTAGCAGATCGCTTTATACAAAATATCTCATCCATATTTTTACCCATTTATTCTTAAATGACTGTTTAGCTAAACCTATCTTTTGTATTTCCAGCTCAGGTCTAGGGATGAAGAGGTCGAAAGACTGGGTGTGAACAGTGAGGAAGTTCATAGGGAACTCGAACATAAAGATGCTCTGATCCAGAAGCTGGAGTGGGACTTTTCTATTGCCAAAGAAGAAGCAAGAAAGTCGGAAGATATAGTAAGAATTAAAAAAAATTAACAATCAACTTTAAATCTTAAACTTTATTGAAAAGCACTTTACGCCCATAAATAAACAAGGCAGACACTTTGAACTATAACCCTCGTCTTTCTTTAAATCAATATATATATATAAGCGATTCAAATTATATCAAGAACTCTCTGCCCTCAGTCTAAGTGACTTTTTTTTAAAAAGGAGCCTAATTTGTTAGTGTCCTGTTTTGTTTCAGGATTGAAAATATGTTTTAATTCATCTATATCATTTTTGTTTAATTATTATATTTATTTTCATTTGAAAATTCTTTTCTTAATTGTTCATTTATTTTACATTTAAAAAAGAAATGAAACTCAGCATCTAGTACATCATAATGTTAACAATAACTTGTGTGTAACTGTATGGATCTCTCTGACATTGTATCACAAGGTTTCATATAACAATGGGAAGGCTTGGATTGAGTTTGGGATTAATTTCCCTGAACATGTATATAAGGGGCCAAAAAGAAGCATTTTTGTCTCGCCTTGACGGAGTCAAAAAGCGAGACATATGTGTGCTGTTTCCGGCCTTGGCAGCGGCGACATCGGCATCAACAATGTATTAGTTTGTGATTAGGTCTAGTTCATAGTGAACCACAAGTGGTAGATCAATCATATTTAGTATGCAGTTGTATAAGCATTGGCACATCTTATTTCCATGGAGATTATATGGCCCTGCCCCCTAAGTCATGGTCTATTGACTTCGAAACTTTTGCTTATTATACCCTACGCAACGAGTTTTTGACCCGTCTGTCCGTCCGTCAGTCCTATTTCTTGTCATCTCAACTCCTCTCAAACCACACAACAGAATTTCACAAAACCTTTTCAGATAATAAGGACATACAACGTAGATGTGCATATCGACAGGAAGTTACGATTCAATTTTTTTTCCAGGAGTTACGCCCCTTTGAACTTATTTGCCAAATATACTACTATATCCATTCTCAATTTTAATTTTATTGTAACTTTTTGTCATCGCAACTCCTCTCAAACCACACAACAGAATTTCATGAAACCTTTTCAAATAATGAGGACATACTACGAAGATGTGCATATCGACAGGAAATTACGATTCAATTGTTTTTCCAGGAGTTACGTCCCTTTGAACTTATTTGCCCAATATACTACTGCAACCTTTTGTCATCGCAACTTCTCTCAAACCAGACAACAGAATTTCATGAAACCTTTTCTGATAATAAGGACATACTACGTAGATGTGCATATCGACAGGAAATTACGATTCAATTTTTTTTCCAGGAGTTATGCCCCTTTGAACTTATTTACCCAATATACTACTGCAACCTTTTGTCATAGCAACTCCTCTCAAAACACACAACAGAATTTCATGAAACTGTGTAGATAATAAGGACATACTATGTAGATGTGCATATTGACAGGAAATTATGATTCAATTTTTTTTTCTGATACAATTTTTTTTTCTTACACTTATTTTATTTCTCCAATGACAATGTGGGGACGTGGGGTATGTGAGCACGCTCACTAAGGTTCTTTAATTCTTGATGCGTTTGCCCTTCTTTTTTTACTTGGGGCTCTTATGGATAGTAAAAAAGGCATTGTAATCGACCAGTCAAGGATTGTTGAGATGTGATATATGTCTATACATTGTAGAAAATTGTAAATATATAAAAAAAAAAAAAAAAAAAAATTTTAGTGGGGTACAAAAAAGGGGGATCCATGCCCTTAATACCTGAGCAATATTCAATATATTCTATTAGGAGTCATAGCTACATGGGGATCTATCCATGTCTTGATTTGGACGACAGTTGTTTTATTTTGTTGGACACTTAAATTTGTGGAAAAAGTCATCCACGAAAACCAAGAAAATTGGATCCCCATGAATAAAAGTACTTTTACAGTATTCAAGTCTTATTTAGACAAAATTATTGAATTAGTCTATGCATGTTGGTGAGGGTAGTAAATTCAAGATTTAAAATATAAAAAAAATAAATTAAAATGAGCAAGTGCAGTGTAAAATACACAGAATTATACCAGTGTGGTTCTAAAAAACACTAAGGAAATGTATTGCTGAATATTAAAGAAATCTGCAAATGCCATGAAGGGACTGTAGCAGATCGCTTTATACAAAATATCTCATCCATATTTTTACCCATTTATTCTTAAATGACTGTTTAGCTAAACCTATCTTTTGTATTTCCAGCTCAGGTCTAGGGAAGAAGAGGTCGAAAGACTGGGTGTGAACAGTGAGGAAGTTCATAGGGAACTCGAACATAAAGATGCTCTGATCCAGAAGCTGGAGTGGGACTTTTCTATTGCCAAAGAAGAAGCAAGAAAGTCGGAAGATATAGTAAGAATTAAAAAAAATTAACAATCAACTTTAAATCTTAAACCTTATTGAAAAGCACTTTACGCCCATAAATAAACAAGGCAGACACTTTGAACTATAACCCTCGTCTTTCTTTAAATCAATATATATATATAAGCGATTCAAATTATATCAAGAACTCTCTGCCCTCAGTCTAAGTGACTTTTTTTTAAAAAGGAGCCTAATTTGTTATGTCCTGTTTTGTTTCAGGATTGAAAATATGTTTTAATTCATCTATATCATTTTTGTTTAATTATTATATTTAATTTCATTTGAAAATTCTTTTCTTAATTGTTCATTTATTTTACATTTAAAAAAGAAATGAAACTCAGCATCTAGTACATCATAATGTTAACAATAACTTGTGTGTAACTGTATGGATCTCTCTGACATTGTACCACAAGGTTTCATATAACAATGGGAAGGCTTGGATTGAGTTTGGGATTAATTTCCCTGAACATGTATATAAGGGGCCAAAAAGAAGCATTTTTGTCTCGCCTTGACGGAGTCAAAAAGCGAGACATATGTGTGCTGTTTCCGGCCTTGGCAGCGGCGACATCGGCATCAACAATGTATTAGTTTGTGATTAGGTCTAGTTCATAGTGAACCACAAGTGGTAGATCAATCATATTTAGTATGCAGTTGTATAAGCATTGGCACATCTTATTTCCATGGAGATTATATGGCCCTGCCCCCTAAGTCATGGTCTATTGACTTCGAAACTTTTGCTTATTATACCCTACGCAACGAGTTTTTGACCCGTCTGTCCGTCCGTCAGTCCTATTTCTTGTCATCTCAACTCCTCTCAAACCACACAACAGAATTTCACAAAACCTTTTCAGATAATAAGGACATACAACGTAGATGTGCATATCGACAGGAAGTTACGATTCAATTTTTTTTCCAGGAGTTACGCCCCTTTGAACTTATTTGCCAAATATACTACTATATCCATTCTCAATTTTAATTTTATTGTAACTTTTTGTCATCGCAACTCCTCTCAAACCACACAACAGAATTTCATGAAACCTTTTCAAATAATGAGGACATACTACGAAGATGTGCATATCGACAGGAAATTACGATTCAATTGTTTTTCCAGGAGTTACGTCCCTTTGAACTTATTTGCCCAATATACTACTGCAACCTTTTGTCATCGCAACTTCTCTCAAACCAGACAACAGAATTTCATGAAACCTTTTCTGATAATAAGGACATACTACGTAGATGTGCATATCGACAGGAAATTACGATTCAATTTTTTTTCCAGGAGTTATGCCCCTTTGAACTTATTTACCCAATATACTACTGCAACCTTTTGTCATAGCAACTCCTCTCAAAACACACAACAGAATTTCATGAAACTGTGTAGATAATAAGGACATACTATGTAGATGTGCATATTGACAGGAAATTATGATTCAATTTTTTTTTCTGATACAATTTTTTTTTCTTACACTTATTTTATTTCTCCAATGACAATGTGGAGACGTGGGGTATGTGAGCACGCTCACTAAGGTTCTTTAATTCTTGATGCGTTTGCCCTTCTTTTTTTACTTGGGGCTCTTATGGATAGTAAAAAAGGCATTGTAATCGACCAGTCAAGGATTGTTGAGATGTGATATATGTCTATACATTGTAGAAAATTGTAAATATATAAAAAAAAAAAAAAAAAAAAATTTTAGTGGGGTACAAAAAAGGGGGATCCATGCCCTTAATACCTGAGCAATATTCAATATATTCTATTAGGAGTCATAGCTACATGGGGATCTATCCATGTCTTGATTTGGACGACAGTTGTTTTATTTTGTTGGACACTTAAATTTGTGGAAAAAGTCATCCACGAAAACCAAGAAAATTGGATCCCCATGAATAAAAGTACTTTTACAGTATTCAAGTCTTATTTAGACAAAATTATTGAATTAGTCTATGCATGTTGGTGAGGGTAGTAAATTCAAGATTTAAAATATAAAAAAAATAAATTAAAATGAGCAAGTGCAGTGTAAAATACACAGAATTATACCAGTGTGGTTCTAAAAAACACTAAGGAAATGTATTGCTGAATATTAAAGAAATCTGCAAATGCCATGAAGGGACTGTAGCAGATCGCTTTATACAAAATATCTCATCCATATTTTTACCCATTTATTCTTAAATGACTGTTTAGCTAAACCTATCTTTTGTATTTCCAGCTCAGGTCTAGGGAAGAAGAGGTCGAAAGACTGGGTGTGAACAGTGAGGAAGTTCATAGGGAACTCGAACATAAAGATGCTCTGATCCAGAAGCTGGAGTGGGACTTTTCTATTGCCAAAGAAGAAGCAAGAAAGTCGGAAGATATAGTAAGAATTAAAAAAAATTAACAATCAACTTTAAATCTTAAACTTTATTGAAAAGCACTTTACGCCCATAAATAAACAAGGCAGACACTTTGAACTATAACCCTCGTCTTTCTTTAAATCAATATATATATATAAGCGATTCAAATTATATCAAGAACTCTCTGCCCTCAGTCTAAGTGACTTTTTTTTAAAAAGGAGCCTAATTTGTTAGTGTCCTGTTTTGTTTCAGGATTGAAAATATGTTTTAATTCATCTATATCATTTTTGTTTAATTATTATATTTATTTTCATTTGAAAATTCTTTTCTTAATTGTTCATTTATTTTACATTTAAAAAAGAAATGAAACTCAGCATCTAGTACATCATAATGTTAACAATAACTTGTGTGTAACTGTATGGATCTCTCTGACATTGTACCACAAGGTTTCATATAACAATGGGAAGGCTTGGATTGAGTTTGGGATTAATTTCCCTGAACATGTATATAAGGGGCCAAAAAGAAGCATTTTTGTCTCGCCTTGACGGAGTCAAAAAGCGAGACATATGTGTGCTGTTTCCGGCCTTGGCAGCGGCGACATCGGCATCAACAATGTATTAGTTTGTGATTAGGTCTAGTTCATAGTGAACCACAAGTGGTAGATCAATCATATTTAGTATGCAGTTGTATAAGCATTGGCACATCTTATTTCCATGGAGATTATATGGCCCTGCCCCCTAAGTCATGGTCTATTGACTTCGAAACTTTTGCTTATTATACCCTACGCAACGAGTTTTTGACCCGTCTGTCCGTCCGTCAGTCCTATTTCTTGTCATCTCAACTCCTCTCAAACCACACAACAGAATTTCACAAAACCTTTTCAGATAATAAGGACATACAACGTAGATGTGCATATCGACAGGAAGTTACGATTCAATTTTTTTTCCAGGAGTTACGCCCCTTTGAACTTATTTGCCAAATATACTACTATATCCATTCTCAATTTTAATTTTATTGTAACTTTTTGTCATCGCAACTCCTCTCAAACCACACAACAGAATTTCATGAAACCTTTTCAAATAATGAGGACATACTACGAAGATGTGCATATCGACAGGAAATTACGATTCAATTGTTTTTCCAGGAGTTACGTCCCTTTGAACTTATTTGCCCAATATACTACTGCAACCTTTTGTCATCGCAACTTCTCTCAAACCAGACAACAGAATTTCATGAAACCTTTTCTGATAATAAGGACATACTACGTAGATGTGCATATCGACAGGAAATTACGATTCAATTTTTTTTCCAGGAGTTATGCCCCTTTGAACTTATTTACCCAATATACTACTGCAACCTTTTGTCATAGCAACTCCTCTCAAAACACACAACAGAATTTCATGAAACTGTGTAGATAATAAGGACATACTATGTAGATGTGCATATTGACAGGAAATTATGATTCAATTTTTTTTTCTGATACAATTTTTTTTTCTTACACTTATTTTATTTCTCCAATGACAATGTGGGGACGTGGGGTATGTGAGCACGCTCACTAAGGTTCTTTAATTCTTGATGCGTTTGCCCTTCTTTTTTTAATTGGGGCTCTTATGGATAGTAAAAAAGGCATTGTAATCGACCAGTCAAGGATTGTTGAGATGTGATATATGTCTATACATTGTAGAAAATTGTAAATATATATAAAAAAAAAAAAAAAAAAAATTTTAGTGGGGTACAAAAAAGGGGGATCCATGCCCCAAATACCAGAGCAATATTCAATATATTCTATTAGGAGTCATAGCTACATGGGGATCTATCCATGTCTTGATTTGGATGACAGTTGTTTTATTTTGTTGAACACTTAAATTTGTGGAAAAAGTCATCCACGAAAACCAAGAAAATTGGATCCCCATGAATAAAAGTACTTTTACAGTATTCAAGTCTTATTTAGACAAAATTATTGAATTAGTCTATGCATGTTGGTGAGGGTAGTAAATTCAAGATTTAAAATATAAAAAAATAAATTAAAATGAGCAAGTGCAGTGTAAAATACACAGAATTATACCAGTGTGGTTCTAAAAAACACTAAGGAAATGTATTGCTGAATATTAAAGAAATCTGCAAATGCCATGAAGGGACTGTAGCAGATCGCTTTATACAAAATATCTCATCCATATTTTTACCCATTTATTCTTAAATGACTGTTTAGCTAAACCTATCTTTTGTATTTCCAGCTCAGGTCTAGGGAAGAAGAGGTCGAAAGACTGAGTGTGAACAGTGAGGAAGTTCATAGGGAACTCGAACATAAAGATGCTCTGATCCAGAAGCTGGAGTCGGACTTCTCTATTGCCAAAGAAGAAGCAAGAAAGTCGGAAGATATAGTAAGAATTAAAAAAAATTAACAATCAACTTTAAATCTTAAACTTTATTGAAAAGCACTTTACGCCCATAAATAAACAAGGCAGACACTTTGAACTATAACCCTCGTCTTTCTTTAAATCAATATATATATATAAGCGATTCAAATTATATCAAGAACTCTCTGCCCTCAGTCTAAGTGACTTTTTTTAAAAGGAGCCTAATTTGTTAGTGTCCTGTTTTGTTTCAGGATTGAAAATATGTTTTAATTCATCTATATCATTTTTGTTTAATTATTATATTTATTTTCATTTGAAAATTCTTTTCTTAATTGTTCATTTATTTTACATTTAAAAAAGAAATGAAACTCAGCATCTAGTACATCATAATGTTAACAATAACTTGTGTGTAACTGTATGGATCTCTCTGACATTGTACCACAAGGTTTCATATAACAATGGGAAGGCTTGGATTGAGTTTGGGATTAATTTCCCTGAACATGTATATAAGGGGCCAAAAAGAAGCATTTTTGTCTCGCCTTGACGGAGTCAAAAAGCGAGACATATGTGTGCTGTTTCCGGCCTTGGCAGCGGCGACATCGGCATCAACAATGTATTAGTTTGTGATTAGGTCTAGTTCATGGTGAACCACAAGTGGTAGATCAATCATATTTAGTATGCAGTTGTATAAGCATTGGCACATCTTATTTCCATGGAGATTATATGGCCCTGCCCCCTAAGTCATGGTCTATTGACTTCGAAACTTTTGCTTATTATACCCTACGCAACGAGTTTTTGACCCGTCTGTCCGTCCGTCAGTCCTATTTCTTGTCATCTCAACTCCTCTCAAACCACACAACAGAATTTCACAAAACCTTTTCAGATAATAAGGACATACAACGTAGATGTGCATATCGACAGGAAGTTACGATTCAATTTTTTTTCCAGGAGTTACGCCCCTTTGAACTTATTTGCCAAATATACTACTATATCCATTCTCAATTTTAATTTTATTGTAACTTTTTGTCATCGCAACTCCTCTCAAACCACACAACAGAATTTCATGAAACCTTTTCAAATAATGAGGACATACTACGAAGATGTGCATATCGACAGGAAATTACGATTCAATTGTTTTTCCAGGAGTTACGTCCCTTTGAACTTATTTGCCCAATATACTACTGCAACCTTTTGTCATCGCAACTTCTCTCAAACCAGACAACAGAATTTCATGAAACCTTTTCTGATAATAAGGACATACTACGTAGATGTGCATATCGACAGGAAATTACGATTCAATTTTTTTTCCAGGAGTTATGCCCCTTTGAACTTATTTACCCAATATACTACTGCAACCTTTTGTCATAGCAACTCCTCTCAAAACACACAACAGAATTTCATGAAACTGTGTAGATAATAAGGACATACTATGTAGATGTGCATATTGACAGGAAATTATGATTCAATTTTTTTTTCTGATACAATTTTTTTTTCCTACACTTATTTTATTTCTCCAATGACAATGTGGGGACGTGGGGTATGTGAGCACGCTCACTAAGGTTCTTTAATTCTTGATGCGTTTGCCCTTCTTTTTTTAATTGGGGCTCTTATGGATAGTAAAAAAGGCATTGTAATCTACCAGTCAAGGATTGTTGAGATGTGATATATGTCTATACATTGTAGAAAATTGTAAATATATAAAAAAAAAAAAAAAAAAATTTTAGTGGGGTACAAAAAAGGGGGATCCATGCCCCAAATACCTGAGCAATATTCAATATATTCTATTAGGAGTCATAGCTACATGGGGATCTATCCATGTCTTGATTTGGACGACAGTTGTTTTATTTTGTTGGACACTTAAATTTGTGGAAAAAGTCATCCACGAAAACCAAGAAAATTGGATCCCCATGAATAAAAGTACTTTTACAGTATTCAAGTCTTATTTAGACAAAATTATTGAATTAGTCTATGCATGTTAGTGAGGGTAGTAAATTCAAGATTTAAAATATAAAAAAATAAATTAAAATGAGCAAGTGCAGCGTAAAATACACAGAATTATACCAGTGTGGTTCTAAAAAACACTAAGGAAATGTATTGCTGAATATTAAAGAAATCTGCAAATGCCATGAAGGGACTGTAGCAGATCGCTTTATACAAAATATCTCATCCATATTTTTACCCATTTATTCTTAAATGACTGTTTAGCTAAACCTATCTTTTGTATTTCCAGCTCAGGTCTAGGGAAGAAGAGGTCGAAAGACTGAGTGTGAACAGTGAGGAAGTTCATAGGGAACTCGAACATAAAGATGCTCTGATCCAGAAGCTGGAGTCGGACTTCTCTATTGCCAAAGAAGAAGCAAGAAAGTCGGAAGATATAGTAAGAATTAAAAAAAATTAACAATCAACTTTAAATCTTAAACTTTATTGAAAAGCACTTTACGCCCATAAATAAACAAGGCAGACACTTTGAACTATAACCCTCGTCTTTCTTTAAATCAATATATATATATAAGCGATTCAAATTATATCAAGAACTCTCTGCCCTCAGTCTAAGTGACTTTTTTTAAAAGGAGCCTAATTTGTTAAGTGTCCTGTTTTGTTTCAGGATTGAAAATATGTTTTAATTCATCTATATCATTTTTGTTTAATTATTATATTTATTTTCATTTGAAAATTTTTTTCTTAATTGTTCATTTACAAGGGGTGTTCTGTTAGCTGCTTTATTCTTATCTTTGTACTCTAGAAGTTCTTGGTGACTAGTTTTGTTTGCTCTTTCGAAAGAGCTATCAATGATGTTGTTAATGTATCCTCGAACAACTAGATGTTTACGTAGTTGTCCAAGTCTAGCATTTTGCGTATTTTCAGTAGAGCATATTCTCTTGATTCTCAATGCCTGGATGAATGGGATGCCACGGGAGCAGTGTTTAGGATGGCAACTTTTAGGAGAAAGGAATTGATGTTTGTCCGTTTGTTTGGTATGAAGGTCCGTTATAATGGTTCCGTTCTTGATGTAACTCGTAGTGTCGAGGAAGTTTATTTTCTCCGTAGATGATTCATATGTAAATTTTATTTTATATATATATATATACAACTCGTCTAAACATCAACCCAACAATGTAAGATCTGTAAATTTGCTTTCGCAAATTTTTTGTTCTTCCCTCGCCGGGATTCAAACCCATGCTACTGAGATATCATGACACCAAATTGCCTGCACTGTAACCGGCACGCTTGACCAAACGACCACTTGGGCTTCTTAAAAATGAAGCTTTCGGTGGCCATGTGTTACCTTTCCATGTCAGTGTTAATCTAGCGTCGCACTACAGTACATGATATATAAGACATGAAGATATTATTTTTTACAGATCAGCTTAATTATCTATAGTAAACGATCCTACAAATTAATGTAAGATACAGTCACAGAAATAATTATATTGATAAGTATGTCTGAACCAGGGACAAACTGGACGATATTTATCTAAACGCACTCAAGAACATCTGTATCGTTTTAAAAGACCCAATAAATTCAAAAGTATCATTTATCAACACCTTAAGAAGCACAATCATCCTATTAAATATTTAGCAGTTCAACCTTTAGAAGTAGTAAATAAGCAGCCTGGTGAATCTCATTCAAAGTTTGTACGATCGCGGAAAATAATTGAATTAAATTGGATTAAAAAATTACAGACTGTCTACCCTCTCGGTCTTAATGATAATATCATGGGAATTGGTAATATATCAAGAACCGATTCTGTTAACATTTTGGATATAGTTTCTAAAACTGTTCGTAAAAACCGTTCTCATGGTCGTAGAAAAAATCGCAATCAAAGAAAATTTCGGACCAATCATACCAATATTTCGGACCTAATTTCTATTTCAAAAAACAACGGCAGACATTATCTGTTAACAAAGCTCTGTTCATTACCGGTTAATAAGTTAAATAAAATTTTAGAGGATTGCAACACAATTTCAAATAGCAGTCCTAAGTATGAAATCGTTCAAATTATAATGGCATATTGTTATTCTAAACTGTTTCCCAAAATTGATCGCCCTGAAGATCATAAAAAACAGTTTATTAAAATAAAGTATGTCAATAAAGGTTTTGATTTTGTAAATATTGCCGGTATTTTTAACGACCATTCTGTTAAAGAACAAATTCCGGGATATTTTGATAATACTGAGCTCCCTCTTATTTGTTATATTTACAAGAAATCTACCCGGAAATTTGTGTTTAATTATAGCCAATTGTGTAAAGATGTTAATATCAGTGAAAATACACCTACTTCATGTAATTGCAGTAATTCCGAATACATTTATGGACCCATTTCCCATGTTATAACAGGAGATCTTAACATCGTTCAAGACCGAGAGTTAAAATCATTCCTCAGTAAAGGACCTAAATATCGTCCCCCGTCAATTATTAATTGGAATGAGTGTCGTAATATCATCCACGACTCACTCCATACTTACTGTTTGAAATGGATAAAACGGGAAAAAGCTGACAAAAAATCTTTGGACTCTTTTTTTAAATCAGTAATGAACATAGTTGATATACGTATTCAACATTTTAAAGAACATTTTACTCTTAACAATAACCACAATAAACCTATTTCTCGTATCAAACATAAACTAAAAGAACTAGCCAAGGAATTTGTTTTTGTCCCGGCCGATAAAGCTGCTAATAATATTATTATTGTTTGACGTAAATTTTACATTGAGGTTCTGAAAAAAGAAATCACCAATTCACCAACATTCCAACTGACTCCATTTTCAGAAAACGACATCTGTAACAAACATAAACTTTTAGCTACCGCTTTACAAGCAGAACCAAATACAATGAAAGTCCCAACTATGTATTGGCTTCCGAAGCTACACAAAACACCTTACAAATATAGATTCATTTCGTCTTCAAGCCATTGTTCCACTACTAAATTGTCTATTCTTCTTACCAGTACACTTGGTACAATCAAAAACCTGATAATAAATTGTTCAAATAAGGCCTTCGAAAATAGTGGAATTAATTACTTTTGGAGTGTCAAGAACTCGTTGGAAGTACTTGATAAACTGCATGCATATATTGGTGATTTTGAATCTGTTCAAAGTTTTGATTTTTCTACCCTATATACCACATTGCCTCACATTCTCATTAAGAAAAAATTCACACACCTAATTAAATGGGCATTTAAAAAGTCAGAATGTGAATATATATGTTCAAACTCTTTTAGGTCATTTTTTAGTAGCAATAAACAAAAAAACTATGTCAATTGGACATGCTTTGATACTATATATGCCCTTGAATTTTTACTAGATAACATTTTTGTTCGCTTTGGGGATTCCGTATATCGTCAGGTTATCGGAATTCCAATGGGGACTAACTGTGCACCACTTATTGCGGACCTTTTTTTGTATTGCTATGAGTTACAATTTATGACAAAAATCAGTAAAGACCCATCGAAACAACATCTGATACACAAATTTAATAATACTTTTAGATATTTGGATGATATTTTGGCTCTCAATAATGACGACTTCAGTATGTATACTAAAGAAATTTATCCTGTTGAACTTACTTTAAATAAAGCTAATACTAACCATGACCACTGCCCTTTCCTCGATCTTGATATCTATATCATTAACGGAAAGCTTAATACTAAAATATATGATAAAAGAGATGATTTTTCATTTCCTATCGTTAATTATCCATTTTTAGATGGTGACGTTCCCTTGTCACCATCTTACGGTGTTTATATATCTCAACTTGTACGATTCGCTCGTGTATGTAACAATGTTTTAGATTTTAACGAGAGAAATGTATGTATTACTGAAAAATTATTACACCAGGGTTTTCGATATCACAAACTAGTCAAAACATTTACTAAATTTTATCATCGGTATAAGGACATCATTCGTAAATATAGCTCAACATGCAGACTTCTTATACGTTCAGGTATTTCACATCCAATTTTTTATGGAAATATTCTTTATAAAGCACAAAAATGTCAGTATTCACCTCTGAAACTAACAAAACCTTTAAATAGACTTATTAAGAAGGGATATAGTTACGATACTGTTGTCAGGTCATTAAAGATTGCATATTTTGGCGTTGATATTGATTCACTTATAAGGTCTTTGCATCTGCACTAAACACATTTATTTAAAAACCAGTTGTTGGCATGACACGGGTTATGTTCTTCTCATATATGTTATGATGGTATGATACTAAACCCCTAACGGGAAGGATTGTGCCTGATATTCATATGATGAAGACATAATCTTTCAATCAGTTTAATTGAAGTCTGGAGCTGGCATGTCAGTTAACTGCTAGTAGTCTGTTGTTATTTATGTATTATTGTCATTTTGTTTATTTTCTTTGGTTACATCTTCTGACATCAGACTCGGACTTCTCTTGAACTGAATTTTAATGTGCGTATTGTTATGCGTTTACTTTTCTACATTGGCTAGAGGTATAGGGGGAGGGTTGAGATCTCATAAACATGTTTAACCCCGCCGCATTTTTGCGCCTGTCCCAAGTCAGGAGCCTCTAGCCTTTGTTAGTCTTGTATTATTTTTAATTTTAGTTTCTTGTGTACAATTTGGAGTTTAGTATGACGTTCATTATCACTGAACTAGTATATATATTTGTTTAGGGGCCAGCTGAAGGACGCCTCCGGGTGCGGGAATTTCTCGCTGCATTGAAGACCTGTTGGTGGCCTTCTGCTGTTGTCTGTTCTGTGGTCGGGTTGTTGTCTCTTTGACACATTCCCCATTTCCATTCTCAATTTTATTTACAACAAGTTTCCAGTGGAAAGGTAACACCCGGCCACCGAAAGCTTCATTTTTATGAAGCCCAGGTGGTCGTGTGGTCTAGTGCACCGGTTACAGTGCATGCAATTTGGTGTCACGATATCTCAGTAGCATGGGTTCGAATCCCGGTGAGGGAAGAACAAAAAATTTGCGAAAGCAAATTTACAGATCTAACATTGTTGGGTTGATGTTTAGACGAGTTGTATATACAGAATGTACACAGCCATGTATCACCATCACTGCTGGTGATCCGATGGATAAATCTGTTGTAGAGTTGTCACTGGTTCAGACATACTTATATAAGATTCAAATTATATCAAGGACTCCCTGCCCTCAGTCTTAGTGACTTTTTTTAAAAAGGAGCCTAATTTGTAAGTGTCCTGTTTTGTTTCAGGATTGAAAATATGTTTTAATTTATCTATATCATTTAAGTTATTATATTTATTTTCATTTGAAAATTCTTTTCTTAATTGTTCATTTATTTTACATTTAAAAAAGAAATGAAACTCAGCATCTAGTACATCATAATGTTAACAATAACTTGTGTGTAACTGTATGGATCTCTTTGACATTGTACCACAAGGTTTCATATAACAATGGGAAGGCTTGGATTGAGTTTGGGATTAATTTCCCTGAACATGTAGGAATAAGGGACCAAAAAGAAGTATTTTTCTTGTTTACAGACAATAACTTGTGTTTCAGTATATAGATCTCTCTGAAATTATACTACAAGGTTTCTTACTACAAAGGAAAGGCAGAAATTGAGTTTTTGGGTACTTGCTCCAATGGGAGTTTCCATAAGTTGGGGGCCCAAAAAGGGGCCCAAATAAGCATTTTTGTAGTTTCCAGTCAATAATTTGTGTTTAAGTGTATAAATGACTCTCTGAAATTATACCACAAGTTTGCATACTACAAAAGGATGGTTATGGGGGTTATGGCTCACAACATTTAGCCAATAGGGGCAAAAAAGGGGGGAAAACAAGGGTTTTTCTGGTTAAAGGACAATTTAAAAGCAGTGTAAGGGAGGTTCTCCAATTCCATTTAAAGAAAACTGTTATAGATATGTTTGATTACCTCACTTATAAAAAAGAAGATGTGGTATGATTGCCAATAAGACAACTCTCCACAAGAATCCAAAATGACACAGAAATTAACATCTATAGGTAACTAACGGCCTTCAACAATGAGCAAAGCCCATAGCACATAGTCAGCTATAAAAGGCCCCGAAATGACAATGTTAAACAATTCAAACGAGAAAACTAATGGCCTTATTTATTTAAATAAATGAACGAAAAACTAATATGTAACCCATAAACAAGCGACAACCACTGAATTACAGGCTCCTGACTTGGGACAGGCACATACATACATAATGTGGCGGGGTTAAACATGTTAGCGTGATCCCAACCCTCCCCCTAACCTGGGATAGTGGTATAACAATACAACATAAGAACGATTCCTATAAAAATCAGTTGAAAAAGGCTTAACTCATCAGATGAACAAAAATACAAGTGGACGAGGCCGGGTACTTGTACATCCCAACAACAAAAATACCCTGAACAGATCTGAGAGTACTCGCAGTTAACTGACAGCTAGTTCAAAGCCACTAACAACTAATAAAAAATCATGCATCTAAGACTAAATTATCAATCCGTACACATCCAACATCCACTGGATTTAGTGTAAAGACGTCATAAACAGTCAGAGAAAAACAGGACCTTGTGCAATGCCAAGATACAGGTATCGACAGATTGTACATCCATGAATGTGTATATGTATATAACATACTAGTAATATTTAGTTTGCTTTTAATTTACTGATAACAAAATGCTTGAAAATTATGTATTAAGAAATGATGAAAGTCTTGAGATAATAAGCTGTAATTTTTTTTAGCTCACCATCCCGAAGGGCCAATTGAGCTTTTCTTATCACTTGGCGTCATGAAGGGACTGTAGCCGATCGCTTTATACAAAATATCTCATCCATATTTTTACCCATTTATTCTTAAATGACTGTTTAGCTAAACCTATCTTTTGTATTTCCAGCTCAGGTCTAGGGAAGAAGAGGTCGAAAGACTGAGTGTGAACAGTGAGGAAGTTCATAGGGAACTCGAACATAAAGATGCTTTGATCAAGAGACTGGAATCTGACTTCTCTATTGCCAATTATATAGTAAGAATTAAAAAAAATAAAAATTAACTTTAAACTAAACTTTATTGAAAATCACTTTTACGCCCATATGGGCCAATGGATTAAAACATTATACATGATATACAGTTTGCATATAAACAACGACAATAAACAATGCAGACACTTTGAACTATAATTCTTGTCTTTCTTTAAATCAATATATATATATGAGAGATTCAAATTATATCAAGGACTTCCTGCCCTCAGTCTTAGTGACTTTTTTTTAAAAAGGAGCCTAATTTATAAGTGTCCAGTTTTGTTTCAGGATTGAAAATATGTTTTAATTTATCTATATCATTTTAAGTTGTTATATTTATTTTCATTTAAAAATTCTTTTCTTAATTGTTCATTTATTTTACATTTAAAAAAGAAATGAAACTCAACATCTAGTACATCACAATGTTAACAATAACTTGTGTGTAACTGTATGGATCTCTCTGACATTGTACCACAAGGTTTCATATAACAATGGGAAGGCTTGGATTGAGTTTGGGATTAATTTCCCTGAACATGTAGGAATAAGGGACCAAAAAGAAGCATTTTTGTCTCGCCTTGACGGAGTCAAAAAGCGAGACATAGGTATGCTGTTTCTGGCGGCGACAGCGGCGTCAACAATGTGTTAGTTTGTGATTAAGTCTAGTTTATGTAAACCACAAGTGGTAGGTCAATCATATTTAGTATGCAGTTGTATAAGCATTGGCACATCTTATTTCCATGGAGATTATATGGCCCTGCCCCTCAGTCATGGTCTATTGACCTCGAAACTTTTGCTTATTTTACATGTATTAGTTTGTGATTAGGTCAGTTTATGAGGAACCACAAGTGGTAGGTCAATGATATTTGGTATGCAGTTGTGTAAGCATCGGCATACCTCATTTCCATGGAGATAATTTAGCTCTGCCCCCTTAGTCATGGTCTATTGACTTTGAAACTTTTGCTTATTTTACATGTATTAGTTTGTGATTAGATCAGTTTAAGATGAACTGCTAATGTTAAGTCAATGATATTTGGTATGCAAATTTATTGGCATTTGCAAGTATCGTTTCCATGGAGATTATATAGCCCCACCCCCTCTTATTGACTTTGAAACTTTTCTATAGTTTACTAGTTAATGTTTGTATTTAGATTTGGGAACAAGAACTTATGATAAGTCAATGGTCATGATGGTATTTGGTATGCAGTTGTATAAGCATTGGCACATCTCATTTACATGGAGATTGTTTAGCCATGTAACTCAGTCATGGTTCATTGACTTTGAATATTTTCATAACTTGTGTAAGATGTTAAAGTATTGCTATTTTGATTTCAACATTTGCATAATCAAAATTACAAAAAGGCGAGACATATCTCTGTGATAACAGTTTATTCTAGTTTACAGACCAGAACTTGTGTTTCAGTGTATGGATCTCTCTGAAGTTATACTACAAGGTTTCTTACTACAAAGGAAAGGCTGGAATTGAGTTTTTGAGTTCTTGCTCCGATGGGGGTTTCGATAAGTTGGGGGCCAAAAAAAGGGCCCAAATAAGCATTTTTGTAGTTTCCAGTCAATAACTTGTGTTTAAGTGTATAAATGACTCTCTGATATTATACCACAAGTGTCCATACTACAAAGAGATGGTTATGGGGGTTATGGCTCAAATTATTTAGCCAATAGGGACATAAAAGGTAGAAAAACAAGGGTTTTTCTGGTTAAAGGACAATTTAGACAATTTAAAAGCAATGTAAGGGAGGTTCTCCAATTCCATTGAAAGAATACTGTTATAGATATGTTTGATTACCTCCCTTACAATGATTGAAAATTATGTATTAAGAAATGATGATTGTTTTGAGATAAGCTGTAATTTTTTTTTAGCTCACCAACCGGAAGGGCCAATTGAGCTTTTCTTATCACTTGTCGTCATGAAGGGACTGTAGCAGATCGCTTTATACAAAATATCTCATCCATATTTTTACCCATTTATTCTTAAATGACTGTTTAGCTAAACCTATCTTTTGTATTTCCAGCTGATGTCTAGGGAAGAAGAGTTTCAAAGACTGTTTCTGACCACAGCGGAAATTTATAGGGAACTGGAACATAAAGAGGCCCAAGTACAGAGGATAGTGTCTGACTTCTCTAAAGCCGAAGAAGAAAGAAGAAAGTCTCAAGATATAGTAAGAATTAAAAAAATTAAAAATTAACTTTAAACTTCAAACTGTATTGAAAAGCACTCATTTACACCCATATTGGCCAATGTCTTAAAACATTATACATGATATACAGTTTACATATAAACAATGAAAATAAACAATGCAGACACTTTGAACTATAATTCTTGTCTTTCTTTAAATCAATATATATATATATATATATATATACAACTCGTCTAAACATCAACCCAACAATGTTAGATATGTAAATTTGCTTTCGCAAATTTTTTGTTCTTCCCTAGCCGGGATTCAAACCCATGCTACTGAGATATCATGACACCAAATTGCCTGCACTGTAACCGGCCCGCTAGACCACACCACCACCTGGGCTTCATAAAAATGAAGCTTTCGGTAGCCATGTGTTACCTTTCCATATCAGTGTTAATCTAGCGTCGTACTACAGTACATGATATATAAGACATGAAGATGTTATTTTTTATAGATCAGCTAAATTATCTATAGTAAAGGATCCTACAAATTAATGTTAGATACAGTCACAGAAATAATTATATTTATAAGTACGTCTGAACCAGTGACAACAAGTTTCCAGTGGAAAGGTAACACCCGGCCACCGAAAGCTTCATTTTTATGAAGCCCAGGTGGTCGTGTGGTCTAGCGCGCCGGTTACAGTGCAGGCAATTTGGTGTCACGATATTGGGGGACATTCTAATAGGTTGACAGAAGAAAGGGGGACATTCTAATAGGTTGACAGAAGAAAAGGGACATTCTAATAGGGTAACCCTTAAATAAGAAAGGGGACATTCTGATAGGGTGTCACTAAAATAAGAAAGGGGGACATTCTGATAGGGTGACACTAAAATTATAAAGGGGGACATTCTAATAGGTTGACAGAAAAATAAGAAAGGGGGACATTCTGATAGGGTGACCCTTAAATAAGAAAGGGGAACATCCTGATAGGTTGACAGAAAATAAGAAAGTTTGACATTCTAATAGGGTGACACTAAAATAAGAAAGGGAGACATTCTAATAGGGTTACACTAAAATAAGAAAGTTTGACATTCTAATAGGGTGACACTACAATAAGAAAGTTTGATATTCTAATAGGGTTTCACTAAAATAAGAAAGGGGGACATTCTAATAGGGTTACACTTAAATAAGAAAGTGGGACATTCTAATAGGGTGACACTAAAATAAGAAAGTTTGATATTCTAATAGGGTTACACTAAAATAAGAAAGTGGGACATTCTAATAGGGTGACACTAAAATAAGAAAGTTTGATATTCTAATAGGGTTACACTTAAATAAGAAAGGGGGACATTCTAATAGCATGAAACTAAAATAAGAAAGGGGGACATTCTAATAGGGTTACACTAAAATAAGAATCATGAATTGTCAATTCACTTAGATAAGACATTAATTTTCCTGGTTATTGATTTTTTCAGGTTGATGCATATATTCAAAAGATTAAATCCGAGACGTCAATAATAAGAAGGCAGGCGGCAGAGGAAATAGGTAATATAAATCTTCATACTAAAAACAATAGAAAACATTTCTTGTTTAAATAGTTTTACATTTATCATTTCAGGGCCTTTTAATATGTGACTTTGTGGTATGTGTTTTACTCATTAATGAAGGCTTTAATGTGATCAATTGTTGTTAATTTCTGTGTCATTTGGTACGTCTCTTTTTAAGAGTAAGTAAAATGACTTTTTGGCAATCGAACCTCATCTTTTTTTTTTATATCAAATGATTTTAACAATCATTCTACATATGAAAATATAAGATAAAGAACGCTATGTTTAAATCATAAAAAGGATAATAGTCTTTCAAATATAAGACGTAGCAAAAGACCACTTCTACCGAAAAATAATAGACCTTTGTCAAAAAGAAACACTTTACGCAATGACAACACATGGTCTTGATTGCCTGAATTGGAACAGACAAACATGTACTGGCAACACAAAGTCTAGATTGCCTGGCTTGGTACAGACATACATGTACTGGCAACACATGGTCTAGATTGCCTGGCTTGGTACAGACATATATATCTGTGTACTGGCAACACATGGTCTAGATTGCCTGGCTTGGTACAGACATATATGTACTAGCAACACATGGTCTAGATTGCCTGGCTTGGTACAGACATATATATACATGTACTGGCAACACATGGTCTAGATTGCCTGGCTTGGTACAGACATACAAGAACTGGCAACACATGGTCTAGATTGCCTGGCTTGGTACAGACATACAAGTACTGGCAACACATGGTCTAGATTGCCTGGCTTGGTACAGACATACATGTACTGACAACACATGGTCTAGATTGCTTGGCTTGGTACAGACATATATATACATGTACTGGCAACACATGGTCTAGATTGCCTGGCTTGGTACAGACATGCATGTACTGGCAACACATGGTCTAGATTGCCTGACTTGGCACAGACATATATGTACTGGCAACACATGGTCTAGATTGCCTGGCTTGGTACAGACATACATATACTGGCAACACATGGTCTAGATTGCCTGGCTTGGTACAGACATACATGTACTGGCAACACATGGTCTAGATTGCCTGGCTTGGTACAGACATACATGTACTGGCAACCCATGGTCTAGATTGCCTGGCTTGGTACAGACATACATGTACTGGCAACACATGGTCTAGATTGCCTGGCTTGGTACAGACATACATGTATTGGCAACACATGGTCTAGATTGCCTGGCTTGGTACAGACATACATGTACTGGCAACACATGGTCTAGATTACTTGGCTTGGTACAGACTTACATGTACTGGCAACATATGGTCTAGATTGCCTGGCTTGGTACAGACATATATGTACTGGCAACACACGGTCTAGATTGCCTTGCTTGGGACAGACATATATGTATCTTTAAAAAGTGTATTAAAAGCTTATCTTACCTCCTATAGATATATATATAGAATAATACATGGCAACATCTGTATTGCATGCTGTATCACCACTCAACCAATATCAGCCCTCTGGACGTTCGGCCCTCGGGACTGATATTGGTTTCTCGTGGTGATACAGCATGCGATACAGATGTTGCCATGTATTATTCTGTTTATCATATATTTAAATAGAATCAGATTAATGGGAAATCCCTTTTTTTAAATCGTCCGAAATTATAAGCTAGAAAAGAACATTATGATTTTCCTGTTTTTTCTAGATGACTTGTTTTTTCTATAGACTTCCTTTTTTGCTTAATATCCTCATCGTAATGTCCTCTAAAACCTTATTACATTCTCAATATACGTTAATGCCATGTTTTAAAATGCATCTACTAACGATAGTGTCTAGGCTATTATTTCAACAAAAATTACTATTTATCAAATAAATATCGTAAGATGCAGAAATATTTAAATATAAAGAAGAAGATGTAGTATGATTGCCAATGAGACAACTGTCCACGAGAGACCAAAATGACACAGAAATTAACAACTATAGGTCACTGTACAGCCTTCAACAATGAGCAAAGCCCATAAGTTTGTATTATTTATTAAATGGCAATGATATTATTCATGATCATTTTAATTTTCTGACGAGGTGAACAGCAAGAAAAATATTTCTTGAAAAGTTTGCTATTTTTAATTCTTACCAAATTAAAATCGTATTTTGCATTTGTGTATAATCCATCAGGTAATGAAAACAAACTTCATGAAAATTATGACCAAATAAACAATAAAACTTCAGATATTTCTACATGTTATTGTGTCTTTTATATATATATAAATCGATTGTAAAGTTACTGGGTATTTTTTTTTTTGGAACTAATTTTTTCCTTTGCAAGGAAAAACAGCAACTGAACGTCATAGGTCAAACGTTGACTTCATTCGAATTATGATGTCACGCCAGGTATGCGATTCGGGTTTTGCTATGAGATACGGATTTAGCTGTGCAATACAGGGTAGGTGATACAGACTGGAAAAAAGAACCTTTATTAGATATACAAAATTGCTGTATTTTGCACTAAATATATGATTAATGGGGAAATGATTGCTTAACGGACTACACATGGTGACTATATATATTTGGTATAGAATGCTTCGCTCTAACCCCAAATGGAATTTACTGACCCCATAAATATTGTATTAGGTCACTACTACACCACGTAACTAATAATATGCTATTTTCATTTTTTTTTCATTTAAATGTTTATATCTGGTAGGTCCCAAAATGCTGTATGAACATGCTCTAACATCAGTTTAAATCTTATCAATATACTTTTTAGCTCATATATATATATATAGCACTACTTGTTTAATTTCAGAGAATATAAAAAAACATTTTTTTGAAGTACAAAAAGAGACTGTAAAGAATATGAAGGTGAGAAGATGTTTTAAGTTACAGTACAAACAAATTGGTTTAGATATTAATAGAATGCATATCATAGTGTTAACAATCTGTTACAAGGTTTAATTGTAAAATTTTGTTATGTTGATTCAACAAAATCTATAAATAAGTCATAGGGACTTGACAATTTTTTAGCCCTCCCCCTTTTTTTCAAAATCTGCTCATCCTTGGAGTTCCTGTATGAAATAAGTCAAATGTCCTGTTACCTTATCAACACTTAAATTACTTTAGTCGGTGTGTAATGGGCATTTCCTTGAAATCAATGTCAGGAAATTTATAACATTTGTACTTTCATGCAGGCCATACTAATCATTGCTCATAATAAACTCTAAAGATTGATATTATATATTACTTTAGATACTACACAAATATCAGCCTATATATGTTAATGTGTAACTGTTTAAAAAAACAATCCTAGTGATTTTGATACATTTTTTTTTACAGGCTGAGGAAGAGAGACAAACGCTAATATTGGTAATATATTTTGATCTCTTCTAGTTAGTGATGTTTTTACTGTATATAGGATGTGTACTATATTTAGATTTCCTCTAATTAATGATGTAAAGTTAACTGTATAGAATTTAAACACTACAAGGTCTACAACTTCAAGGTCTCAAAATATGTTCTGAGAATTTATGGTATTTTACTTTTTTTAAATTCAGAGATTTTAGTGAAAAACTCAACAGGATTGGTATTGTGTTGCATGTCAGAACTCTAAACACCTTAATCTCTGATCATTTATTGTGAATTCAACATTTCTTGAAATTTCAACAAACCTGTTGAATAAAGTTGTATTTTTGTCCATTGATCTAGAACTATTGCCAATGAGACATTACTCCCCACTGTGAGACCAAATACATAGAATTTATCAACAATAGGTCATCTTTTGGAGTATAACAATGATAAAAAAACATGCAATACTGCATAGGCAGCTACAAAGTGACATAAATGACAAATTTAAAACAATTCAAACGAGGAAAATGAATTACCTGTTTTATGTACAAGACCATGAACAAAAACATATGATATACATTTACAAATGAATACCACTGAATTATAGACTCCTCCCTTTGGACAGGCAGACTCAGAATTTGGCTGGATAAAAAATTGTTTATTGATGCCAGTAATGACCAAAAGAAACTTGAAACTTTGATTGATTGGTTTTACTTCAGTGACTATCCCATGATAAAACTATCTTTTCTGTTATAAAGTTATTGTTCTGAATGTTGATTTAAGGATGTACATCTCTGAGGAGCTCAAAATTTCTAGAATTGAACTTTTTTCTAAACCTTTTTTTTATAAGACTGTATACGGGATGACGTATTATGGTATACCGTTGTCCATCCATCTATTTGTCCATCGTCAGCAAAGCAGTTTATTGGGTTTATATGACTGTAAAAAAGTAATTGACGAAGTAAAAAATCATATGATAGTGCATTTCTTTTTTTTTGCTACAGCCCTTTGAAAGTACCCAATTTTGATGATTTTCCATTTGTCATCAATTTTTACCCATTTTTGGGCTACTATCGGGGGACACAGTTCACAATTTAACTATTTTTCATACTTTCAATTAAGATGAAGTGGACCAATTTGAATAAATTAAACATAAAAACTATTGGTGGGTGTTAATATAAGAAGTTTTATCATATTTAAATGCTTTTTCTTGTCAAATATAACATGCTTTCAATTTTGTAAATTTGTAATTTTTCTATTTTTTAAGATAAAAAGGCATATAACTTCAACTCCTTTGTTTTAAGTGATTAAAAAAAATACATATCTAAGAAATTTGAAAACAAAATAATAATATAGAATGTACATTTTTCTAGTAAAATCATTTCTTGTATCCCTCACCCATTTTCTCAAATTTTGGCTGAAAATACTGACTTGATTGGTAATAAAACTTTATTCTTAAAAACTGCATATTAAAAATCCTCAAATTTTTCACAGAGTTAAGTTTGATTATGATATTCATAACTATTTTTCACTTGTATCACATGTTTTGGAAATAATTCCAGAACAAGATTTCAAAGAGACTGAGATGTCAGAAGAATACAACCTTAATTCATGAAAATTTTCTCTTTTAAGGAAATGAATAAAAGCCTCTTCCAGACTTCCCTAAAGTAAGTAATTATTGTTATTTTACTGATCCAAATTTTATTATCTATTATATTTAGGGTTATGTCCCTTACTTCAACAATCATAAAAAAGATAAACGGATATTTACTCACTGTTTTGTGGATGCTGTTGGTTGACATTACTTTTTTGAAAATCAATCTTTTTTTTATTTGAAAATCTCCATTCTACCATTTATATTTTTACAAGCTTTATTTAGGTTTTAATGAAAATATCATTATGAAATGGTATAGAAAATATAATCCTATGAAGAGTGGGGGGCAGGGCCTTTTTCGGGACATTGGGATCAGATGTTTTTTAAGCCCTGGATTTTGGGATTGATCGTTTCAGTATCAGGGAATTCTTTTTTATAAATCTGAGATGTCGGGATTTAAATTTCTTTAATTTCGGGACCTCAGGATTTCAGGATCAGGACCCCTCCGACACCCCCCCCCCCCACCCCCACCCCTCTATGAATTTTCTAGTAAAATTAATATCTCTTTATGGAATTATTGTCCTCTATAAATGATTTATCGAGTATACCGAAAATAGGCTTTTGTTGAGGATGCAGGAAAGCAAAATGTGAGGGTGTATAGAGCCTCTGGTTATAATTATCAGGGCTGGACATTTTTCATTGAACAATTCTATATTTGATATTTTTTTTTTAATTTGTAGAGAAAAAGATATAAGAAATGCAGCTATTATAAGTCAAATGACTGAAGATTTGAATAAACAGGTATGCATTCATAATGAATATTTATTTTATATTCAAAACAGATATAAGTATGGTTTATCCGTTTTTCCTTAAAAATAAATCATGAAAAGTAACCATTTAGTTAAAGCTGCTAAAGTCTTGAAATTGAATATATTTTTCAAGAAATGCACAAACCTTCAATATTCAAATTAAAGTTTGGCCTTCTGTGGTGATCATTTATGTTTGTGGTAACATCATTTATATTTCAAGGGGCCTTGATAACCCAGTGCTCTAAGTAGTCAAATTGACTGTAATATTAGCAAGTCAACAGAGGTTGTGAGTTCAAAATTCACAAAGGGCAGGTGCACTCAACTCTAATTTCATTTGACAAGGATTGTCAGCTCTCCTACCTAAAGTTGGTGGTTCTCTCTGGGCACTCTGGCCACCCTCCACCAATTAAACAAATAACAGGATCCTTGCAAGGTCAATTGTTTCCAACCGTGCACCGACTGCATAGCCAGTCAAGGTTTTAAAATTCCATTTGTTGTTGCAAGGTCAACATGTCTATTTTAAATAGCATACCCTGAAAAGCCTTCTGTGATGCAGCTTCTTGGTGTTAAAAATCATTACAAAGTAATCTGATATTCAGTGGTTGTCGGCTGTTTATAAGGTTGATGAGGGTTTCTTGTTTTTCATTTTTATATAGATTAGACCGTTAGTTTTCCCTTTGAATGGTTTTACACCAGTATTTTTTGGGGCCATTTATAGCTTGCTGTTCAATTTGAGCCAAAGCTCCTTGTTGAAGGCCGTACTTTGACCTATAATGGTTTACTTTTATAAATTGTTACTTGGATGGAGAGTTGTCTCATTGGCACTCATACCACATCTTCTTATATCTATGTCCTTTGGACAGATTTCACCTTTTGGAAGTCAACCCTCCCATTGTTTATTGTATTTTTTTTAGATGTTTTTTTTTCTTTACAGATCATAGTCATTCCTCAAGCTTCTGAATACTTCTTTTTTATGTTTTTTTTTTTAACATATGTTTTATTCACCAAATATCTTTGTCATATGTAGTACATTATGAGTCTAAAAATATCTTTAGAAAAGTGCACTCTTCTGTATGGTTCTAGGAGATGGTCCAGTTACTATACAAAATATAAAAAAGATGTGGTATGATTTCCAATGAGACAACTCTCCACAAGAGACCAAATGACCCAGAAATTACCAGCTATAGGTCACTGTACAGCCTTCAACAATGAGCAAAACCCATACCACATAGTTTGCTATAAAAGTTTGTTTGTGGAGTAAGGTAGGATTGTGTTTACTCAAGGCATACTTTTGTTGAGTTTATATTTGTAATGCTTCATATTGGTAAATATGAAGATCCTTCCCATTTCATTGTGTTTGATCATTTTCAATCTCCTGTGGATTCATTTGTTTTTCGTGGGTACCAATTTGTGTTTAAGGGAAAACTTTCATGTTCAAGGATATGTAATAATTTCATGTTTTGCTGAAGTCTGCATACAAGCCTATAGAAAATTGTTTATTCATTGCAGATTTAATTTCGTGGTTCACCTGCACCTACAAAATCCACGAAAATTTGTATCCAACGAATATTAATGAATCCACAGTAAATATTCTTTTTAATGAATATTTAGTTAATAATCATTCATTTATTAGATTTTAAAGTATTGACTTTTTTTCAGAAGCAAGCAGAAGGAAAGAAATTAGAGAAAGGTGAATATTAAGTTCCTGTAATTTACTCAGAAAACTTTACAAAAAATTATACTTTGATAATTTTTCTTTTTGATACATAGATAAACAAAAATGCTTGTCTTATTTTGTTGTCTTTCTATTTAAGTCATACCCATTAAAGAGGGGCCTGATGGGGGGTCTCATCACGATTCACAGAAAATAAATTTCCATGACCACGGATCACGAAAATATAAAAAAAAAAACCTGTAGAAAAACAGATCACGATAGCGAAAATGCACCGATCAAAAACAACGAAATTAACCCATCAGGCCCCTCATTAAATGAAGATAACATCTGATGTGATGAAATAAGAATCTAGCTTATCCTGATTGGTTGTTGTGTGCACTCTGCATTAAACCAAAGGCAAAATAAAATATTTTTCTTAATTTCTTAAGGAATTAGAAGTCTTTTTTACACTCTGACCAGACATATTTTCAAGTAAAATATTGAAAGGCAAGGGAGATAAGTACAAATTGCCTTGAGAAAAACCAATGAGATAGATATAGGAAGATGTGGTATGAGTTCCAATGAGACAACTCTCCATCCAAGTCACAATTTATAAAAGTAAACCATTATAGGTCCAGGTACTGTCTTCAACACAGAGCCTTGAACCAATATTTTTTTATCTAGAAAAATCTATGCTAATAATTTTTCTTTGATTCTAGCAAGGCTTCCTCTAAATATCAACTTTTTTAAAGGTTGCTTATTGGGAAATTAAGTCTTTTTGGAATCAGTATGCCATATCTTGAATGACTGCAAGAGGAACTATTGTAAAGTTGTATCATTGGCAATCACACCATATCTTCTTTTTTTGAATTAAACAAATTATAGGATTAGGCAAGTACAAGTTTGATATTAGAACCTCTCCTCTCTATCATCCACTCAGCTCTACAATGTTTTCATAGCTGTCATGTTCGGTTTAAAAAAATTTGTTTGTCTTTATTTTATTCCCTCCTTTTTTTAATGTTTTTAATAAAGATTTTTGTAAATATTGAATATTTATTTCAGTTGTTGCCAGACAAGAGAAGATAATGACACGATCTAAAACAAAGGTACTATTCAATCACATTTTTTGTACTTTTTTTATTTCACTAATTTTTAATAAATTTGGTCACTGTTGCTAAATATATAACACAGGGGTATAAAAGGCAGTTTTTGATAATTTTTTATATCACTCTTTTGTGCTGAGAAAGGAAATATCAGTCAGTAATCATAATCAAAGAAACAATTTGAAAAAAAGCGATAAATATAGATTATAACATGGCATTTTTCATATCAGACCCCTTATCAGCACTAGGTCATGATATCAGCCTCATTACATTGTGTTTGATCATTTTCCAACTCCTATGGATTCATTTGTTTTTCGTGGGTACCAATTCAGGGATAAGGGAAAACTTTCAAGGATATTTAATTTCATGTTTTGCTGAAGTCTGCATACAAGCCTATAGAAAATTGTTTATTCATTGCAGATTTAATTTCGTGGTTCACCTGCACCTACAAAATCCACGAAAATTTGTATCCAACGAATATTAATGAATCCACAGTAAATATTCTTTTTAATGAATATTTAGTTAATAATCATTCATTTATTAGATTTTAAAGTATTGACTTTTTTTCAGAAGCAAGCAGAAGGAAAGAAATTAGAGAAAGGTGAATATTAAGTTCCTGTAATTTACTCAGAAAACTTTACAAAAAATTATACTTTGATAATTTTTCTTTTTGATACATAGATAAACAAAAATGCTTGTCTTATTTTGTTGTCTTTCTATTTAAGTCATACCCATTAAAGAGGGACCTGATGGGGGGGTCTCATCACGATTCACAGAAAATAAATTTCCATGATCACGGATCACGAAAATATAAAAAAAAAAAACCTGTAGAAAAACGGATCACGATAGCGAAAATGCGCCGATCAAAAAGAACAAAAATAACCCATCAGGCCCCTCATTAATTGAAGATAACATCTGATGTGATGGAATAAGAATCTAGCTTATCCTGATTGGTTGTTGTGTGCACTCTGCATTAAACCAAAGGCAAAATAAAATATTTTTCTTAATTTCTTAAGAAATTAGAAGTCTTTTTTACACTCTGACCAGACATATTTTCAAGTAAAATATTGAAAGGCAAGGGAGATAAGTACAAATTGCCTTGAGAAAAACAATGGGATAGATATAGGAAGATGTGGTATGAGTGCCAATGAGACAACTCTCCATCCAAGTCACAATTTATAAAAGTAAACCATTATAGGTCTAGGTACGGTCTTCAACACACAGTCTTGAACCAATATTTTTTTATCTAGGAAAATCTATGCTAATAATTTTTCTTTGATTCTAGCAAGGCTTCCTCTAAATATCAACTTTTTTAAAGGCTTTTGTTGCTTATTGGGAAATTAAAAGTCTTTTGGAATCAGTATGCCATATCTTGAATGACTGCAAGAGGAACTATTGTAAAGTTGTATCATTGGCAATCACACCATATCTTCTTTTTTTGAATTAAACAAATTATAGGATTAGGCAAGTACAAGTTTGATATTTTAACCTCTCCTCTCTATCATCCACTCAGCTCTACAATGTTTTCATAGCTGTCATGTTCGGTTTAAAAAAAAATGTTTGTCTTTATTTTATTCCCTCCTTTTTTGAATGTTTTTAATATAGATTTTTTTAAATATTGAATATTTATTTCAGTTGTTGCCAGACAAGAGAAGATAATGACACGATCTAAAACAAAGGTACTATTCAATCACATTTTTTGTACTTTTTTTATTTCACTAATTTTTAATAAATTTGGTCACTGTTGCTAAATATATAACACAGGGGTATAAAAGGCAGTTTTTGATAATTTTTTATATCACTCTTTTGTGCTGAGAAAGGAAATATCAGTCAGTAATCATAATCAAAGAAACAATTTGAAAAAAAGCGATAAATATAGATTATAACATGGCATTTTTCATATCAGACCCCTTATCAGCACTAGGTCATGATATCAGCCTCATTACATTGTGTTTGATCATTTTCCAACTCCTATGGATTCATTTGTTTTTCGTGGGTACCAATTCAGGGATAAGGGAAAACTTTCAAGGATATTTAATTTCATGTTTTGCTGAAGTCTGCATACAAGCCTATAGAAAATTGTTTATTCATTGCAGATTTAATTTCGTGGTTCACCTGCACCTACAAAATCCACGAAAATTTGTATCCAACGAATATTAATGAATCCACAGTAAATATTCTTTTTAATGAATATTTAGTTAATAATCATTCATTTAATAGATTTTAAAGTATTGACTTTTTTTCAGAAGCAAGCAGAAGGAAAGAAATTAGAGAAAGGTGAATATTAAGTTCCTGTAATTTACTCAGAAAACTTTACAAAAAATTATACTTTGATAATTTTTCTTTTTGATACATAGATAAACAAAAATGCTTGTCTTATTTTGTTGTCTTTCTATTTAAGTCATACCCATTAAAGAGGGACCTGATGGGGGGGGTCTCATCACGATTCACAGAAAATAAATTTCCATGATCACGGATCACGAAAATATAAAAAAAAAAAAACCTGTAGAAAAACGGATCACGATAGCGAAAATGCGCCGATCAAAAAGAACAAAAATAACCCATCAGGCCCCTCATTAATTGAAGATAACATCTGTTGTGATGGAATAAGAATCTAGCTTATCCTGATTGGTTGTTGTGTGCACTCTGCATTAAACCAAAGGCAAAATAAAATATTTTTCTTAATTTCTTAAGAAATTAGAAGTCTTTTTTACACTTAGACCAGACATATTTTCAAGTAAAATATTGAAAGGCAAGGGAGATAAGTACAAATTGCCTTGAGAAAAACAATGGGATAGATATAGGAAGATGTGGTATGAGTGCCAATGAGACAACTCTCCATCCAAGTCACAATTTATAAAAGTAAACCATTATAGGTCTAGGTACGGTCTTCAACACAGAGCCTTGAACCTATATTTTTTTATCTAGGAAAATCTATGCTAATAATTTTTCTTTGATTCTAGCAAGGCTTCCTCTAAATATCAACTTTTTTAAAGGCTTTTGTTGCTTATTGGGAAATTAAAAGTCTTTTGGAATCAGTATGCCATATCTTGAATGACTGCAAGAGGAACTATTGTAAAGTTGTATCATTGGCAATCACACCATATCTTCTTTTTTTGAATTAAACAAATTATAGGATTAGGCAAGTACAAGTTTGATATTTTAACCTCTCCTCTCTATCATCCACTCAGCTCTACAATGTTTTCATAGCTGTCATGTTCGGTTTAAAAAAAAATGTTTGTCTTTATTTTATTCCCTCCTTTTTTGAATGTTTTTAATATAGATTTTTTTAAATATTGAATATTTATTTCAGTTGTTGCCAGACAAGAGAAGATAATGACACGATCTAAAACAAAGGTACTATTCAATCACATTTTTTGTACTTTTTTTATTTCACTAATTTTTAATAAATTTGGTCACTGTTGCTAAATATATAACACAGGGGTATAAAAGGCAGTTTTTGATAATTTTTTATATCACTCTTTTGTGCTGAGAAAGGAAATATCAGTCAGTAATCATAATCAAAGAAACAATTTGAAAAAAAGCGATAAATATAGATTATAACATGGCATTTTTCATATCAGACCCCTTATCAGCACTAGGTCATGATATCAGCCTCATTACATTGTGTTTGATCATTTTCCAACTCCTATGGATTCATTTGTTTTTCGTGGGTACCAATTCAGGGATAAGGGAAAACTTTCAAGGATATTTAATTTCATGTTTTGCTGAAGTCTGCATACAAGCCTATAGAAAATTGTTTATTCATTGCAGATTTAATTTCGTGGTTCACCTGCACCTACAAAATCCACGAAAATTTGTATCCAACGAATATTAATGAATCCACAGTAAATATTCTTTTTAATGAATATTTAGTTAATAATCGTTCATTTATTAGATTTTAAAGTATTGACTTTTTTTTCAGAACCAAGCCGAAGGCAAGAAATTAGAGAAAGGTGAATATTAAGTTCCTGTAATTTACTCAGAAAACTTTACAAAAAATTATACTTTGATAATTTTTCTTTTTGATACATAGATAAACAAAAATGCTTGTCTTATTTTGTTGTCTTTCTATTTAAGTCATACCCATTAAAGAGGGGCCTGATGGGGGGGGGGGGGGGTGTCTCATCATGATTCGCGAGATGATTTTTTTGTCAATCACGATTCACAGAAATAAATTTCCATGATCACGGATCACGAAAGTATAAAAAAAAAAAACCTGTAGAAAAACGGATCACGATAGCGAAATGCACCGATCAAAAATAACGAAAATAACCCATCAGGCCCCTCATTAAGTGAAGATAACATCTGATGTGATGAAAGAAGAATCTAGCTTATCCTGATTAGTTGTTGTGTGCACTCTGCATTAAACCAAAGGCAAAATAAAATATTTTTCTTAATTTCTTAAGAAATTAGAAGTCTTTTTTACACTCTGACCAGACATATTTTCAAGTAAAATATTGAAAGGCAAGGGAGATAAGTACAAATTGCCTTGAGAAAAACAATGGGATAGATATAGGAAGATGTGGTATGAGTGCCAATGAGACAACTCTCCATCCAAGTCACAATTTATAAAATTAAACCATTATAGGTCTAGGTACGGTCTTCAACACAGAGCCTTGAACCTATATTTTTTTATCTAGGAAAATCTATGCTAATAATTTTTCTTTGATTCTAGCAAGGCTTCCTCTAAATATCAACTTTTTTAAAGGCTTTTGTTGCTTATTGGGAAATTAAAAGTCTTTTGGAATCAGTATGCCATATCTTGAATGACTGCAAGAGGAACTATTGTAAAGTTGTATCATTGGCAATCACACCATATCTTCTTTTTTTGAATTAAACAAATTATAGGATTAGGCAAGTACAAGTTTGATATTTTAACCTCTCCTCTCTATCATCCACTCAGCTCTACAATGTTTTCATAGCTGTCATGTTCGGTTTAAAAAAAAATGTTTGTCTTTATTTTATTCCCTCCTTTTTTGAATGTTTTTAATATAGATTTTTTTAAATATTGAATATTTATTTCAGTTGTTGCCAGACAAGAGAAGATAATGACACGATCTAAAACAAAGGTACTATTCAATCACATTTTTTGTACTTTTTTTATTTCACTAATTTTTAATAAATTTGGTCACTGTTGCTAAATATATAACACAGGGGTATAAAAGGCAGTTTTTGATAATTTTTTATATCACTCTTTTGTGCTGAGAAAGGAAATATCAGTCAGTAATCATAATCAAAGAAACAATTTGAAAAAAAGCGATAAATATAGATTATAACATGGCATTTTTCATATCAGACCCCTTATCAGCACTAGGTCATGATATCAGCCTCATTACATTGTGTTTGATCATTTTCCAACTCCTATGGATTCATTTGTTTTTCGTGGGTACCAATTCAGGGATAAGGGAAAACTTTCAAGGATATTTAATTTCATGTTTTGCTGAAGTCTGCATACAAGCCTATAGAAAATTGTTTATTCATTGCAGATTTAATTTCGTGGTTCACCTGTACCTACAAAATCCACGAAAATTTGTATCCAACGAATATTAATGAATCCACAGTAAATATTCTTTTTAATGAATATTTAGTTAATAATCATTCATTTATTAGATTTTAAAGTATTGACTTTTTTTTCAGAACCAAGCCGAAGGCAAGAAATTAGAGAAAGGTGAATATTAAGTTCCTGTAATTTACTCAGAAAACTTTACAAAAAATTATACTTTGATAATTTTTCTTTTTGATACATAGATAAACAAAAATGCTTGTCTTATTTTGTTGTCTTTCTATTTAAGTCATACCCATTAAAGAGGGGCCTGATGGGGGGGGGGGGGGGGTGTCTCATCATGATTCGCGAGATGATTTTTTTGTCAATCACGATTCACAAAAAATAAATTTCCATGATAACGGATCACGAAAATATAAAAAGAAAAAAATCTGTAGAAAAACGGATCACGATAGCGAAATGCACCGATCAAAAAGAACAAAAATAACCCATCAGGCCCCTCATTAAATGAAGATAACATCTGATGTGATGAAATAAGAATCTAGCTTATCCTGATTGGTTGTTGTTTGCACTCTGCATTAAAGCAAAGACAAAATAAAATATTTTTCTTAATTTCTTAAGAAATTAGAAGTCTTTTTTACACTCTGACACATATTTTTAAGTAAAATATTGAAAGGCAAGGGAGATAAGTACAAATTGCCTTGAGAAAAACAATGAGATAGATATAGGAAGATGTGGTATGAGTTCCAATGAGACAACTCTCCATCCAAGTCACAGTTTATAAAAGTAAACCATTATAGGTCTAGGTACGGTCTTCAACACACAGTCTTGAACCTATATTTTTTTATCTAGGAAAATCTATGCTAATAATTTTTCTTTGATTCTAGCAAGGCTTCCTCTAAATATCAACTTTTTTAAAGGCTTTTGTTGCTTATTGGGAAATTAAAAGTCTTTTGGAATCAGTATGCCATATCTTGAATGACTGCAAGAGGAACTATTGTAAAGTTGTATCATTGGCAATCACACCATATCTTCTTTTTTTGAATTAAACAAATTATAGGATTAGGCAAGTACAAGTTTGATATTTTAACCTCTCCTCTCTATCATCCACTCAGCTCTACAATGTTTTCATAGCTGTCATGTTCGGTTTAAAAAAAAATGTTTGTCTTTATTTTATTCCCTCCTTTTTTGAATGTTTTTAATATAGATTTTTGTAAATATTGAATATTTATTTCAGTTGTTGCCAGACAAGAGAAGATCATGACCAGATCTAAAACAAAGGTACTATTCAATCACATTTTTAGTACTTTTTTTATTTCACTAATTTTTAATAAATTTGGTCACTGTTGCTAAATATATAACACAGGGGTATAAAAGGCAGTTTTTGATAAATTTTTATATCACTCTTTTGTGCTGAGAAAGGAAATATCAGTCAGTAATCATAATCAAAGAAACAATTTGAAAAAAAGCGATAAATATAGATTATAACACGTCATTTTTCATATCAGATCTCTTATCAGCACTATGTCATGATATCAGCCTGAGAACTGACAGGCTTGAGGGATGATTTTGACCATGGTCTGATAGGGGTCTGATATGAAAAATGACATGTTATGTTCTTTTTATCATTTACTTCAACAGAAGACATACAGACAAAAACTATTTTTAAAACTTTGAAAAATGCTTTTGTTGTAATATTTATTTTGCATTTTTTAATAATATATTTTCCTTATCCCTAATATTTTTTTGTATCCAACTTTGTTATTTTTAACTTTGCACAAAGAAATGTACCAGTGAGGTCTATTTTCCGGAATTTGCAGAATGACGTCGAAATGTCATCTGATAACGTTACAACAAAGCATGCGATAATAACTGGAAGCAGTTGATATAAGTCGGAAGCAGTTGATAACAAAAGTCATATCACACGGCTAAGGCAATTCTTCAAATTTAATGAATAAATATATGTACAAATAAGTTTTATCATGGGGTATAATTATACCATTATTTTCTATAAGTATTTGATAATAAAATTTATCATCAATACCAGAACTATAAAGATATCATTGAAGAAGATAAATAGGAAAACATAAATATGATAGCAATAATGGTAAAAACATATAACAAAACGAAATATTTTCCCATTGAGCTTCTCAAACTGTTTTAAGTCTCTTATTATTGATGGAGAAAGCCTGAATTCCTGGAGAACATATTCTACCTTCCACAGGAAATTTTCAATTCTTTTTAACTTAGATCAGTCAAATGCACGTACCTTGTGCAGTGTTCAAACTCAAATGCGCAGGCTAGTGAGGGGCCTTGGTGGCCTTGGTGGCTTAGTGGTCTAAGTAGTTACTACTGTAATCACTAGCCAGTCAACACTGAGGTTGTGAGTTCGAACCCCTCTCATGCAGGTGCACTCGACTTCAATCTTAATTGACTTAGTCTAGGATTGTCAGTTTTCCTATTGAAGGTCGGTGGTTTTCTCTGGGTATTCAGGCTTCCTCAACCAATGAAAACTGGCCGCCACGAAATAGCCTAAATGTGGTGTTTAAAAATGGCGTTAAAACAACAAAAATCAAAAATCAAATCAGGCTACTGATACAGTAGAATGGCTCCTATGACCACTTAGCCACAGACTTATTCATATACCTTAGCTTTTACAAGACCCCATTAAATAGATGCAAGTCACATTGTTGAAGTAAAAGAATCATTTTCTCTAATTACATCTTTAATAAATCACATATTCATTAGAGGAATCTGCCTAAGATCATGCATTTAACAGGTTTAAATCTTTATTTCTTACAAACAGATGCAGATTAAAAAGTTGATGAAAGACCAGAAAAACAACAAAGGTAAATTATTGTGGCATTTATTTTGCAGGCATCACTAATTTTTTAGATGATGGACATACATACAAATAAAGTTATATTTGCTTTGTTTTTGTCTGTATTGTGCATATTTGTTTCATTATTTAATTCCACAAAATTATGTCACAATTATTACGTCAGGCCCAAAATAAATATGTGTGTGGATCCAGTTACCCTTCCTTAATTATGCAAATATGTTCTACCTTGGTGAAACATTTATAATTATACTTACTTACTTATATACAGTCTTTGCTATGCCTTTTGGCACATAGGACAAGGACAAGTTTCCTCCACTCTTCTCTGTTGTTTGCTTTTTTCTCCTCTGTGCCCCAGGTATATTCTCTTTCCTTTAATGGTTCTTAGTGTCAAATATAAGGGTTAGCGAACATTTATGAAAATGCCCAACAAATGTCTTTTATGATCAGCAATGTCTGACAACACTATAGGGGGTCTCAGGGGAGGGGGGTTCTGATCCCGGATCCCACTTATTTTTTTGTCAGATTCACCTATCCCACTTACAATATGTACGTATGCAATTCTCATTTTTTGTAATTTCCCGTATCCTGTCATGTACAATAATTTGACGTGTCACGCGTACAAAAAATTGGCAATCCCGTGTCAGGCTTAGACCCCAATTAGACCCACTCTATAAAGGTGGTATTGCCCCTAAATGGCACATTTTACCTATTTGTTTATAGTATTGTTGGCTTAATACATGTATATGTTTAAAGCTATAATAATTGAGAAATATATAAAGCAAAAATTATCAATAAGACTAATAATATAAATCTACACACAAGTTATGGTTAAAATTGTCAGTCAAAAACTATTTAGTGACAATTTTGCCATTTTGTTTGCATTTTTTAGAGGAAACTATAATATAAGTAGAGAAAACCTGAGGTTATTTTTTACTATCTTGGCTAATTCCATTGAAACCTCTTTGTACAATTAATGAGGTAATTAGACAATTATTAGTTAAATCAATGGATTGTTTTGTTGTTTGAAAGCTGTTATTGTATCTAATGTCTTATAGAAGGAAAAGAAATAAATTGTCTCCCTTTAAGTTCAATTATTGTAATGTTATTGGCTCCTTTGGTTTAAGTATTTAGAATAATAGAAAACCAAAGGATATAATACAAAATCAGTTCAACAGCAAAAATCAGCGAAAAACAGTAAAAGCATTTTTCTATGAAAACTTTTAACTTGTTTTCAGGAACTTACTGCAGGTTAGAAAGAATTTTTGCTGATGGAGAATTTGTAAAATGGAGTCGTGATCCTTTATGGTAAGCTTCCTTGTGTAAAAATTAAAAGACAATATTCCCTTATTGTCTGCATCATAACATTATACAATTATTGCGTCTTTGACAGGTAAAAAATTTGCTATGTTGGGACTTTGTATGAACCTCTATTATTTTATTTTTATGTAATCAATAATTCAGGTTTGTAAATATATTTAATCCTCGATTAGTGTTGTTCTTGTCATAGCAACTCCTCGTAAACCACAAAATTTTATGAATTTTTGTGGTTATTCAGAACATACTATGTAAATGTCTAAAGGTTATGTCCCTTTGAATTTAGAATTTTGGCCAAATATGCTACTGCAACAGTTTTACATTGCAACTCCTCTAAAACAAAACAACAGATTATTATCAAACTTTGTAGATAATTAGGACATTCTATGTAGATGTGCATAATGACAAAAAAAAAAATTGAATAGATTTTTATTCTAGGAATTATGACCCTTTAAACTTTAAATTTTGGCCTAAATATACCACTGCAATAGTTTGTCAGTGTTAAGGTGGTACCAAACATCTTCACTGAAACCATGGAAGTAATATTCAAATATTTCAATATTACTTCCATGCTGAAACTAATGTTGCTTGTTTAATTTTCATAAAATTTTGACAAATGTGCATTCACTGTATGATAAAAAATTCAATAAACTTGAACAACACACTTTATTGGAACATTTTCATTGGACAAATAGAGGTTTGACTAACATCAATTTTGAATATTGAGAAGCTTAACATTAGAACAATAGAATGTAATTAAAACGCTCAGCTGATTTTTACAGAGTTATCTTCCTATAGTGTTATGTACCATCTTAATGAGAATATACTGATGTCTATATCCACAAGAATTTTTTTATAGTTGACTTTTGTATGAAATAAGACTTTTTGAATTAAGAATTAGGTGAGATTCTTTTGGCCCAGTAACAATGTGAAAGGGGAGGGGGTAGAAATGGGGTAGAAATGAAGCATGCTGACAAAGGTGCTCCAGTATTGATATATTCTGCTTTTATTAATGGTTGAAAAAAAACAACATTTGGGTTGAACCAGGGGTAGGATTGGATCGACGTTGGGCCGGATCGACGTGGGGCCTTATCAACATGAAAGCCTTTACCAAAACCTAGTTTTCAAATTTAACAGAAGTAAAACAATACTAAGATACAACCTATTCATGTTTTTATTGGTATTTAAAGATCTAAATTATTTTTGTACCTTGTGAACCTGCTAAGTTGTTTCTTATATTGAAAAGTACTATATTTAAACATGTTAAAAAGTTGGAACTAAAAAGTGAACCTTGATTGACAGATTTGCTTAAAACTAAGCAGTGTTTTATACAATATTATTACATTTCAGTCTGGAGTAATATGGTAAAACATGCAGAAGTCATCAGAAGAACAATACATGCTGTCAATCTAGATCCTGCTGCTGAACATTTACCGTTTGTTTATGTGTTACATTTTTGTTTTAGTTGTCTGTTGTTTATGTGTTATATATTTGTTTTTAGTTGTTTATGTGTTATATATTTGTTTTCAGTTGTCGGTTGTTTATGTGTTATGTATTTGTTTTTGGTTGTCGGTTGTTTATGTGTTATGTATTTGTTTTTGGTTGTCGGTTGTTTATGTGTTACGTATTTGTTTTTGGTTGTCGGTTGTTTATGTGTTACAGATTTGTTTTTAGTTGTCGTTTGTTTATGTGTTACATATTTGTTTTTAGTTGTCCTTTGTTTATGTGTTACATATTTGTCGTTTGTTTATGTGTTACATATTTGTTTTTGGTTGTCGGTTGTTTATGTGTTACATATTTGTTTTTAGTTGTCGTTTGTTTATGTGTTACATATTTGTTTTTGGTTGTCGGTTGTTTATGTGTTACATATTTGTTTTTAGTTGTCGTTTGTTTATGTGTTACATATTTGTATTTAGTTGTCCTTTGTTTATGTGTTACGTATTTGTTTTTAGTTGTCGTTTGTGTATGTGTTACATATTGTTTTTGGTTGTCGTTTGTTTATGTGTTACATATTTGTTTTTGGTTGTCGGTTGTTTATGTGTTACATATTTGTTTTTAGTTGTCCTTTGTTTATGTGTTACATATTTGTTTTTAGTTGTCGTTTGTTTATGACGTTACATATTTGTTTTTAGTTCATTTTTTTTTTCTTTTTTAATTTGATTTGATTGATCTTTAAGCTCAGTTGGATAGAAAAATGTCTAAATTTTGCTAAATTCGTTCAGCCATAGCCGAACCATTGCACACAATTAACATTTGCCTGCAGCTCTTCAATGTTACATACTCGAAAGGATATACCATAAAACACATTTCATATTGTGTAAAAATAATTTATGCATTTTAAATGCTTCTGGTCACTACTTCCTAAAGCACTAGCCAAAAATCCTGTTATACTGCTTGACAGTAGAGCCAGGCAGAATACGTCAAAAGATATTTGTTCATTGGGTAGCTTTGATATTCTAAAATATTAATTTCATGTTCTTGCAAGATGTTGTACTCAGTAAAAACAAGTTTTAAGACGACGAACCTAATTTGATTGATTTATGTTGAAAATCATTGTATAACTGATTTTTTGTTCAGTTGGATTATCGGTATATATTTCTCCAGATAGAATTTTCTGTTACCCTAACTAAATGAAAATTTTACTATGCTTTTTTTCAAAAATATAATAAAGAGTATGGGTCACTGTTTTTTTTAAGCTACAAGTCATGCACAATTGCACAAATTTGCATACATTATTCTTGAAAACACACATCTTTTTAATAAGTCTTAAAGAATTTTTAGATAAAATATGATAGAGAAGATATGTTTTATTATTTGCTTCAACAAAATAAAAGAAATGGGATCACAGAACTTGTTTTCTAGCTACAAGTAAAAAATTTAAAATTTCACTATCAATTCAGTATAAAACATTTTTAACAAGAGTCCCCCCTCCTTAATGGCTAATTTGAAAATTGATCCTAAAACATAAATCTTTGGAATTTGTTTAAACATTTTGGATTATGTAATAAATCAGTTTTTTTCGTTTATGAAATTAAATAGTCTTATTACACATCAATAGCAAATCTGTCTCAAAATTTGCAGATTTAGGGAAAGAACTAGACCACTTATGTACTGCTGTTGTTCAACCCAAGATGGTGGTATACAGTGAATCTACCTTAATATGATGTGTGCAAGCTCATTTGAAAATTGCTCACCTGGCACACAGTGAAAGTTTTGAAGTATAAAATAGAAAATAGTTCAGGAGCCCAGGCCATACCAGTGGCGGATCCAGGGGAGGGTTCCGGGGGTTGGAACCCCCCCTTTTTTTTGGACAATCAATGCATTTGAATAGGGACATATAGTTGGACCCCCCCCCCCCTTTTAGTCCAGTCAAACTAAGGTTTGCAACAGAAAATGTTTTCGTTCTAATCTATAGCCCCAATTATACACAGAAAAAAGTCCCATAAAATCTAACTTGAGGAAAACTCAAAAATCAGCATTTTTAATTTCCTATGGAAATTAACATTGGAAAGGGAAGATAACTCCGCAAAAATGTGTCTTTTTTGTCAGTTTTTTTGTTAATTTTCTTAAAATTCAGGTAAAGCATGATACTTTGATGGGGTTATAAGTTTGTATTTGACTATATTTTATCATTTTCTGCTCATAAAATGTACAAAACGGAAGGTGTTATGGGTATATATAATTTTTTTTACGTATTTTTCATTAAAGAAATTGCAAATTTGTGGCTTTGTGACCATTTTGAAAAAATAATGTGAAAATTTGGTATTGTTTATATCTTTTAATTATATTTTTTCAGCATCTAACTTGTTTAAAGAAACTTTAAACCACAAAAAGAACAATATATGCTTAATTAATTTTATTTAATTTGATATTCTGTACCTTGACACGTTGAAAAATTTAATAAATGGTCAACTAATGAATTACGAAATTTAGATTGTAGTTTGAAAAAAGAGATGGAAACACCTTAAGAGTTATTTGTTATACTCTAAAGATGTCCAAAATATCAAGAATCAATACATTCTGCTGTCAAATTTATGCTAGATTGACTGGACTATTTGTCCTGGGTTTGGAACACCCCCCCCCCCCTTTTTAAAATGGCTGGATCCGCCCCTGCATACGTTATAATGACTTCTACACATTAGTTTATAATAATGAGACAATAAATATTCGATTCATCTGTGTAAAGAATATTACAAAAAAAAATAATAACAAATCTTACAGTTGAGAAGAATGAAGTATCTCAATTCCTGTATTCATAAAGGGAACACTAAAATAAATGGAAGGTTTAAATTAAACTCGGGCAAATAGAATTTGAAAGTATGAATTTTAAATTTCCTTGGGGTGCAATAATGCTGATGCTCTATTTCAGTGTCAAATATTGGACTTTCAATTCCTATTTTTAATGTTTTTTGTCAGAAGGTATCTTCCTTTCTCATTAATTAACTAAACCAGAGAACAAATATACATGTTTTGTGCACAAATGAGTTTTGATATGGGATGTTAGGTGTAAGTTGTGATTTGCCATTACAATTTGGGGGATTTGTGGAGAAAGAGAATGATCTTAGACACATGGTATTGAATCCTGAATAAGGTAAAATGGGTCTATCCTGAATAAGGTAAAATGGGTCTTTCATTTTAATGAACCTTAACTTACATTAACTTTGGTTAGCTAAATGAACAACAAACAAAGATCCCTTGTCCAATCCCTGTTCCAGGAGAAGATTTCAAGGATTGAATTTTCCGCTCTCCCTTGACATTATTTTGGAGTATGTTCTTTAGAAATGATGATAGTCAGTCAGAAGGGGATGATAAATGGCTACCTCTTCTTAAGAGAGTGCAATATCTCTTGTAGTAAAAGACACCCTTGTAGATTTCGAAAAAGAGCAGGCTAATGCCACTAAAAGCAGCATTTGCACCCGTAAAGTGGAAAGGGATAAATATAAGTTGTAAAAAAATTGTTTCCCAATCATCTATAAATAAATACGTTTTAATAAAACTTGCATAAAACTTGAGTAATAAAAATATACAAAATTTAGATAGAATCTCCCTCATCAGAAAAATGTGAAATGAATATCGTCAAATCTGAATGCACTAACAACTCTGATTTAGTGCTGATCCAAGCTTAGACAAGCAGAAAAAACTATAAAAAAAATTAAAGGTCTCTCCACCAGTAAGGATCTATTTTGATATGAAAATATTAAAATTTAGTTTTAAATGTCAATCCCGGTGTCAAATGACAGCATATTGTACGCTGATTCCAAAAATATATGATTTCTATACAAAAAGATATAAATAAGGGAGATAATTTTTTACTTCCGTTTTGAAAAATGTCACTTCGGTATTGTTTGCTAGTTTACTTGACACTGACCTATTGCAAAAAGTCCCATGGTTTTATCATGTATACATAAAAGGTAAAAGCACAGGTCAAAATTTAGAATGTTAAATTTGCCAATGACCTTGAGCTCAATTTCAATGTCATAAACCAAGGACAAATCAAAAGACCATAGGTCTTAATTATATATGACAAATGAGTTATATCATCATACCTGTAATTTTAGATATAATAGGGAAGACAACTCCCATTTAATGTCTACGTACCCTTTAAACTAAAAATTTACGTGTTACGACATGTCGCAACTAAAAATTCTGTAAAAATATTTTGTTGTGTCTTATAAGATTTCTGAAAATAAGTGATAAGTGATAACAAGCTAAAATCAAAATTTTGAACATGACCTTGACCTTTGACCTTGACCTCATTTTCATTTTTATGGACCAAGGACCTCAAATCAAATGACTCTAGGCCTCTATCACTTATGGTTTTCCAGTTACAAATACATTTCACTTATATCAAATACTAAAGGGGAAATAACTCTCATATGGAATCTTTATATGGCTTTTGTCAAAATTAAACGAAACATCCTGAGGATATAACGAGCAATCATGCTTCAGTGATTCCCTATATAATCAACCATTTCTTTACCCACGATAGGGGGGCCAGGGCCCTCCAGCTCCCCCAACTGCCTATGACATCTGATGTGTTGCTCTGACATGTAAGAACAAATTCGATAAGTCTTATTTGGAAGGTGACATTGAGGAAAAGAGATAGTTGTTTCGACAATTTGAACATATCTGTTGACATCTGTGAAACAGATAATCAATAACGGTCAACCAACTTGTGACAGTGTCTGAAAAATTTTGTAAGGGATGATTTCAACTTCACCACTTGGAATTTTAAGTTATAAAGCTTCTTTAAAATAATCTTGAGTTGAAGGGAATAGGTGATTTTTACATCTTGAGTTGAAGGTAACAGGTGATTTTTACATCTGGAGTTGAAGGGAATAGGTGATTTTTACATCTTGAGTGGAAGGGAACAGGTGATTTTTACATCTTGAGTGGAAGGGAACAGGTGATTTTTATATCACTCATTGTACCAAGAAAATTTTTGTCCAAGTTTTTTCTTTACATCAGTGAAAAGGAAAAATAATGTTATGCTCCAGTAAACATATAACTTTGATCAGACCCATTACTAATCCTGTTTTTTTTTAAGATACAGATTTTAGATATGAAATTGGCTCTCCAGCTTCCTCCACCATTAAAAACTCGCCACAACGAAATTGCCCAAAAAGCAGTGCTTAAAAGTGGTGTTAAAACACCCCAAAAATGTAATAAAAATCAAATATATATGAAATAGAATTATAATAATATTTTTCACATGCAGATTGTTAGTAAAACAGTAAACAAAGAATTTTGTTATGCAATCATTTTTATGATTAAAAACCTTTGATTCAGCATTTCATTTTTAGCAGCCACTGTTTTTCAAGGAAATACCTATATGAGATGCAAAGAGTGGAACAACTTGTCAGCAAGGAGAAATGAAATTCATTTACAGGTATAACTGGGTTAGTGCTACATAAGAGAAGTTCACAATGGGAAAATTGAAGTCTTGTTTGTTAAATAATTAGCTCTCAGCTGGTCCTTGCTGATGGTTTCTAGGTGACATTGGGGCAAGTTTTGAAGCAGCTTGTCTGTATCTGTTGTATCCTTCTTCTCGTTAAGAGGTTAGTTGTGATCAACATTGTCACCAGACTTCGAATTATGTATTAAAAGGAATCACCTACATTGTGGAATGTGAAAATAAAGTATAATGCTTGGTTCTTTTTATCCTTGATAAGTGCCTGTGTGTAGTCTGCATTAAAAGGAGCATATTTCCATAGCAATGTCAACATTTTGTTATAACTTTTTGGTTTGTGCATGAAGAGCAGCTCTCAGTTTTTTAATTACTTTTTTCCTATGCCATTTCCCCTTTTTTTCATATTATTTTCAAATCCTTCCTGTTCATCATTATTTCATTTTTTTTTATGTTAATTATTTAACTTTTTCTCATTCTGAATCAGTAATAAGGTCTGCAGTAATGCTTTCAGAAATTTGATATATTATTTTTTTCATTCCTGTAAATTTTCAATTTATTAATTATGAGATTTGGAAATATATAGTATCTCTTTTGGATTTAATGCTAATTAAAAACTTTGTGTTTGACTCCACATAGTTTTGGTTTCTTGCAATTCTTATGAAGGTTATTCCATAGACCAGTTGGGCACACTGAAAATTGTAACATCCATTCAATTTAATTCATGAAATATTTTAATTTCTTTATTTATGTGTCCCTCCATGTCTTGTACTCCATTTAAAAATCTTTTTATTTTTTGAAGTATCAAAACTAACCTGGTGGTTTTACTAACATGATACTTCCTAAATAGGTTGTTAGGTATTTTAGTGGCGTGATAGGTGGTGCAAGGGAGAGAGAGATTGATGTATGACATTCTAGTAAGGTTTTGGGGTACTAACCAGATGGAGGGATATGGTTGATGTGTGCTGAATAGAATTTATTGGGTTGAGACTGACTAGTGTTAGTGAATAACTTTAAAAAAGACTTAATTATTACCAAAAGTTTCTAGTTGAAAATGAATATTATTTCAAATAAAAATTCAGAATGGGACAGTTAAGTAAGGAATATCTTTGGGTGATTATATGTTTAGTTAGAAAAATGTTCTCTCCTCAGACCTGGTTTCCATTTTTAAGGGATATCTGAATGTTCATGTTTAGAAATTTATTAGATTTGCTCTTTTCATTTCTATTGACCATATATTCAAATTTTATTTTAATGGGGAACATATAAATTACCAGGCACCTCCCAAATTAAATTAAATTTTTCATGTTTGAATGACCTATTTTTGTAACACAGTTGACATTTCTATAGGAACCAACTACTATAAACCAAATTATTTAATGAACAATTTTTGTGGTTATCTAAATTTTGGAGGGAATTCATTTAACAGCTGATAATTCTCTTTTGAAATATTCACGATTAATATTTGGCTTATTAGTTTTTGCTCGAAATCTTGTACATGAATTGTTTGGAAAATGAGTTGGTTCACAGTATGCTCAATCCTCTTCTAGTCTTGGCTACCCCCTGTAGCAGTCTCATTAATCCTTTGTCCCCCACCCCAGCTGAGTCACAGCCAGAGTCTTTAAAATTGGTATTGCTATTCCTTCACCAACCAACAGATACTAAAGAGTAAGAGCAAAGACTAGTTGGGTTTGAAGAGAAACCAGAGTTTTTTTTACAGAGTAATTGTTCATTAAATGACTCAGCATATGTAAAAAAGGATGATTTGGATTATTAACTTCAATGAGACAGCAACTTCCCAACAACAAAATATGACTGACACCTTATAAGGTTAACATACAGTCTTCAGCTATAGAATGTTGTTCTAGCATACACATATGGAGATGTGATATGATTGCCAGTAAGACAAATTACCTCTTCATCAAGACCGAATGACAAAGATATGTACAAAAACAGACTGATGTAGGGTCTTTCACAATTCAGACATGATCTAATATTTCATTTTTTAAACACATATACATTTAAACATTAGATGTGGTATGATCGCCTTTGGACATGTATATATGTTGCTGGTCTTAAATATCCTCCCATCTAGAGGAAGCTTGCATTGTCCTTTTACTTCACATTCCCCAATTTAGGCATTTCTTTTTTCTCAAAATTCAAAAAAAAAAATTTTTTTTTTTTTTTATTGATTTTTATTTATATAAATATAATTCAAAGTTTGTTGACATTATTGATTCCTTCTGTAATTCCTACATAACTAGTTATAAGGATACATCCGATACAGGTAGGACTGGTTCATATCTTGACCTTAGCCTAGGGGTTGTTAGTGAGGTCAGTTGGGAACTATAGAAAAATAAAACAAAGGAGACTTCCTTTTTCTTATTGTGAACCTTCTATTATTATGTAGCAACAATCCAGGTACACTTGTATATATGGATTTTATATCTCCCTGTTGATTATAATCCACTCTTTGCATGTGCTGTAGGTCAATTGATAAATGGTAGTTGCTTTAAAGAATATCATGGAACCAAAGGTTCTTAATGGTAACGTGGTCAGTCAAATTTTCTTTGGATGATTTACTGATATTAACTGTAAACTAAAATTCTAAGAATGTATTCAATCCTAATTCTTGCATGTAAGAAATACAAATTATTGTTCTGAATATTAAGTGTTTGAGAAATTCATTTTGAATACTATTTGTTTTTAATGGATTAGTGGGCAATGATATTTATTTAATGCAATTTTTAAATGAATTTACAAGGACACAATTTTTGGGATATCTGTCATACTTACGTAAATCAAATTTATGGCTTTCAGTTTGGAATGATTAAAAATCTGAGATATTGAAAACTATTTCAATCTTTGAAAGACAGATGAATGAAAATAAGTTCTTATGAAAAACTGAAAATTGTGTATCCAAATATTCCATGCTGAAAATCTGAGTGGTACAATGAAATAAAACAATTAGAAAAGTGATTGAATTAATAAACCATGTTGCTGTCCATCAGATTGGCTTTTTATGAATATTATGCCGACAGGCGAGACATATTTAGCCTGCCATGAAAGTTGCCAAAACTAAATATAGTTGTCCTAGGTTACATTATTCGCTGAACTGCCAACAGTTTTGCAACTGTCCCAAGTCAGGAGCCACAGGCTTTTGTAAGTCTTGTATGTTTTATAATTTCAGTTCATTTGTATGTTTAAGATTCAGTGTGATGTCCATTTTTACTGTACATATTTTTGTAAAGGGGCTAGATGAAGTATGTTTCCTGGTACAAGATTTTCTTGCTGTGTTGGAGACCAATTGGTGGCATTTAGCTGTTTTTTTATGCCTCATCTAAGATAGTACATGTTCTGGTCTGTGGGTCTGTTTGTTCGTCCGACTGTCTATCCAACTTCAGGTTAAAACTTTTGGTCAAAAGGTAGATTTTGATGAAGTTGAAGTCCAATCAACTTGAAACTTAGTACACATGTTCTCTATGATATGATCTTTCTAATTCTAATGCCAAATTAAGAGTTTTAACCCAAATATCATGGTCCACTGAACAAAGAAAATGATAGTGCAAGTGGGGCATCAGTGTATTATGGACACATTCTTGTTTACTCTTTGGTCTCTCTTTCCTCATTTCCATTCTCTATTTTATTAATGGTCAGTCTGTGGTTTAAAAGTTTTATGAAACTTGGTCAGATCCCTTATAATCAAAAGATAGCACATGGAGCAAATTATTTTGTTTCCAAGACTTAATTGATAAATGTAATAAATAATGTCATCCTCTGTCGTTGTTAACTTTTAAACATATCTTCTCCTCTGAGACTACTGGGCCAAATTTAACCGAACTTGGCCACAATCATCATTGGGGTATCTAGTTTAAAAAATGTGTCCGATGACTCGGCCAACCAAAAATTATGGCCACCATGGCTAAAAATAGAACATAGGAGTAAAATGCAGATTTTGGCTTATATCTTGTTTTCTGAGAAGTTTATTCACATCTTATAGAGAATCATATTGATTAAGAAATTAAAGCATATTACAAACACCCTTGGGGAGAGGGACTTACATTTAAGATGTCACTTTTAAATTGTGGGGAGGCGGGTGGTTTGTGAATTTGCTGAATTTTTAGGATTTTTTCAATGGCATATCATTCCCACAAAACAGTGCTGATATTGGTATTATAGCTTGTAAACATATACATGTATTGATTTATTTGGACCATCTTAAAGCCTAAAATTTTAAACCGCATATCAATTTTAATTTATATTGTTAAAATTCAGCTTCTAGACCATAAATGCTTATTTCCTCCATTTTTGATACTTGTAATTATAATACAATTTTTATAATCGGGTGTCATCCTTTCAAATTTGGAAATAAAGAGATTTCCCTCTGAGGAAAATTCTTCAGAGGGAGATTGACTGTGGACCTATTATTTCAGATAATGACCTCCCACTGAGGAAAATTCTTCAGGGGGGAGGAGATTCTGGCTTTAGACCCTATTCCTGATAAAAAAAAATAATTATGATGTGCAAATTTTCTATGAATAAACAGTTACATATGTTAAAGACCTATCTTACCAATGTTGTTTATTGCTTTGTCCATACAAAATATAATTAAGCTCTTTTTTTTAAACTATGGGGTGTTCAGTAACCATTAGTAACAATTATGGCAAAGAAAACAATCTTTATGTGCCTATATTTGATTCAGAATTATGTACCTTGTTTACTTATTCTCTTTCTACAATAGTCCCACATTACCATCCATGTGCCACCCCAAGGGTGACAGGGGTTTATATGCCATCCATGTGCCACCCCAAGGGTGACTGGGGTATAGATGCCATCAATGTGCCACCCCAAAGGTGACAGGGGTATATATGCCATCCATGTGCCACCCCAAAGGTGACTGGGATAAATATGCCATCCATGTGCCACCTCAAGGGTGACGGGGGGTATATATATGCCATCCATGTGCCACCCTAAGGGTGACTGGGGTATAGATGCCATCAATGTGCCACCCCAAGGGTGACAGGGGTATATATATGCCATCCATGTGCCACCCCGAGGGTGACGGGGATATAGATGCCATCCATGTGCCACCCCAAGGGTGATTGGGATATAGAAATATGGTCACTTGGTTGTCAATTGAACGGCAGTAAAACCCTGCTTTCCTGATTGCATAGGTGAATGTGGGGCTAGATATATAAAATGATTGCCATCCATGTGCCACCCCAAGGGTGAGTGGGATATAGAAATATAGTCACTAGGTCTATTGCCATCCATGTACCACCCCTAGGGTGACTGGGATATAGATGCCATGCATGTGCCACCCCAAGGGTGACTGGGGTATAGAAATATGGTCACTTGGTCGTCAATCGACAAGCAGTAAAACCCTGCTTTCCTGCTTGCCTAGGTGAATGCGGGGCTAGATATATAAAATGATTGCCACCCATGTGCCACCCCAAGGGTGAGTGGGATATAGAAATATGGTCACTAGGTCTACTGCCGTCAAATTGCCACCCCAAGGGTGACTGGGGTATAGAAATATGGTCACTTGGTCATCAATCGACTGGCAGTAAAACCCTGCTATCCTGCTAGCCTAGGTTAATGTGGGTTTAGATATATAAAACGAGAAGATGTGGTAGGACCATAGGATATATATTGCCAATGAGACAACAACCCATCAAAGATGTTATATAAAAAGGTTCCAGCTTAGCAAACAGTGTCATAATAGGGGGTTTGAATGGGCTTTAAAGAATAGAGAATAAATAATCATTAGCATTAAAGGGCCCTTTAAATAAAGAGGAGAGGAAAAAAGCAAAATAGATAAAGACTAGAGAATAATCATTAGCATTAAATGGCCCTTTAAATAAAGAGGAGAGGAAAAAAGCAAAATAGATAAAGACTAGAGAATAATCATTAGCATTAAAGGGCCCTTTAAATAATGAGGAGAGGAAAAAAGCAAAATAGATAAAGACTAGAGAATAAATAATTGGGTGGAAAAAGGACCTACAAAATTAAAGACCACCATCCAGACCCTCATAATAAGATTAATGCATGGTTAGGGTTAATTGTCTTTAGTATAATATTTGATGGCATCTAAGTAATTATTTGAACAAAAATTCTCACTGTATGCAAGTTATCTTGACTACGTAGATTTATGATTATATATATTAGCCATTATTAGTGAAACACTGGACCTTGTATGTTCCCCTCACAATTGAATAAAATAATTGGAAAATCAGGAAAAAATTCCCAGTAATAAGTAAACTTATTAAATGCTTAACTTTCAATAAATTATTTGTCAAATTGAATCTGATTTAAAGTGAAGGACATATAACACATTAAGTGTTTTATAAATTGTTGCTGTCATGTGGCATCAAAATTTTGTGAACTTCTTACTCATAATCTACAAAAGCTTAAAAATACAAGAATTAAGTCAGAAATAAGAACTTCCCTCGGGCCAGGAATAATACTTAAACAGAAAAAGTCTTTAGTTTTCCTTTCATAATCTAAAGGACTATGGGTAATCTTATTGTTCATATAACAAAATGAGAATAATATTGTAACGACATTGGTTGAATTTCAATTGTTTTGTAGGTTTTAAACCAATCACAATGTTTTGGTGTACAGCTTTGAAACTATTACCAAGAATGCCTTTGATTCTAAAACAGCGAATGGATTAAATTTTTTTATAAGAACTAAACTTAAACAATAAAAGTCTTTATTGGATTTATTTAGTAAAGTACATGTGTTGTCTTCCATGAAGAAACTTTTTTAAAAAAAATGTTGTATTTTAATTCAAATTATGTTTAATTGGTGCTTTTGAAATATGAGAGCAAAGAATGGGGAAAATATGTTCTTTAATTATGGAAATACATCATATTAGATTTTTTTTTGAATCAGACTAAGGTGAATATATCTTATTCAAGGAAATTCCCTGTATATATTATATACATGTATAACCAAGAAAGAGCAATTTGTAGCTAACTTTGAAGAGCTGTTATGTGTCATGTGTGCAATGGTTTATGTTATACATTTGTACCTGTATTGTGCAGTATTATTTTATTTAAGGTTAAATTATATAACAATTAATGTATTATATTTTTTCAATTTAAGGGTGGTTCAAAATATAAAGTGTCTTCTAGAAATCTAAAATGTGTTGTTCGAATTAACATAATTTTGAAAATTTTGGTTGTTTAAAAAAACAAAAAGCTGAAAACTTGACAAAAAACAATGCTATTTTTCAAGTTTAATGATTTTAACATTAGTCATTTAAGAGTTATAGGACTTGAATTGTCAAACCAAATTGCATGAACTTTTTAAAGTCTTGTAAAGTATAGAATTCAACTAACATTTTGAGTTTGTCAATTTAAATGTTTATCATTCCACCAGAGTAATCAGACTCCTATGATTTTGAAGTATCATCAAACAATTTTGCATGGAGATGGGAAAACATGCATCCTAGATACATTTGTACAATCTTAAAGTTCCATGTGTTCAATAGACTATTTTCATATTACCGATATTGACTCCGGATTATAATTTGTCGACTGGTTACCTTGGACATCATGGTACCAAGTCAGGTAAGAGCAAGCTAAAGAAGCAAAACCAAGCTTTCAATCGGTACAATTTTGGGGGAATATTTCCTGCTTAACATTTTTATTTCACTACAAAATCATTGGAAAACAGTAAACTTTCCCCTCAAATTACACTGATTATATGTTTGATTTTAATTATTTTGGTTGCTCTTACTTGACCGAGTACCATGATGTCCAAGGTAACCAGTCGACAAATTATATAATCCGGAGTCAAAAGTCGGTAATATGAAAATAGTCTATTGCCTCATATCACTAAAGCAAACTACAGTTCCTAAGCTGATCTGATATTTTCCACTTTGAACATTTTTAAAAGTCAAGGATATTTCAATGATATGTTACATTGCAAGGTCGCAGGTTAGATTTGACCATGTTAGAATCACTTTAAGTAATGACTACATATTTTTTGTTGTCTTTAATTTTTATTGAGATAACTGGGGACAAATGAAGTAATGGCAGAATTGTAATTATCAGTTTGTAAATGAAAGTGCATGTAAATAAGTAAATACTATTATGTAAATATCTATGATTGCACATGTCTATGATTTATTTGTACAAGTGCTTGAATGTGCCTGAATAAAACTATACTATATATACTAGACTATACTTGTGTCATGTGTGCATATGTAAGTTTTTTATTATGCCGTACTCTATTATAAAATTTGGGTAAAGATTGTATAAAATCAAAATCTTTCTTTTGGTACTGGCTCGATAGCTATATCTTCCAAGCTTAAACATCTTCACCTTCGAGAGTTCAAACAACACAGTGCATTGAGGTGAAGATTCATTAGATCATATATATCCATGCCCAATTCTTCAGATATTAAAGTTAAAACATGATGTGTGTGTGTGCATGTATTACCGTACTTTCCATGTTAACTATTTCTCCAAAACAATTACATAAATTGTGCATGGTGTATATAAATCTATCTTTTCTAAAAAAAAAGTTCACAAGTTCAACAGCAAGATTGAACAATGGGAGATAACTCCATTGATTTAAGCTCAAAATTGAAAATTGAAAGCAGTCTTTACCCTTCGGTGCTGACAGGCACTTTGTTTTTTTGTTTGTATAGTGTCTGTGTTCATATATAATCATGTTTTATAGTTAACTGTAAATAGATCATATATATCCATGCCAAGATTCTTCAGACATTAAAGTTAAAACATGATGTGTGTGGATGCATGTATAACCATACTTTCCATGTAGATTATTTTTATCAACAACAAAATCAACATAAATTGTGCATGGTGTATATGAATCTATCTTTTCTTAACAAACAAAAAGTTCACAAGTTCAACAACAACATTGGATAATGGGAGATAACTCTAATAATTGAAATTGAAATTGAAAATTGAAAGCAGTCTTTACCTTTCAGTGCTCACAAGCACTTTGTTTGTTTGTAAAGTCTGTGTATTCATTTATATATATATATATATATACTTATGTTTTATAGTCTGTTGTAAATAGATCATATATATCCATGCCAATATTCTTCAGACATTAAAGTTAAAACATGATGTGTGTGGGTGCATGTATAACCATACTTTCCATGTAGATTATTTTTATCAACAACAAAATCAACATAAATTGTGCATGGTGTATATGAATCTATCTTTTCTTAACAAACAAAAAGTTCACAAGTTCAACAACAACATTGGATAATGGGAGATAACTCTAATAATTGAAATTGAAATTGAAAATTGAAAGCAGTCTTTACCTTTCAGTGCTCACAAGCACTTTGTTTGTTTGTAAAGTCTGTGTATTCATTTATATATATATATATATATACTTATGTTTTATAGTCTGTTGTAAATAGATCATATATATCCATGCCAATATTCTTCAGACATTAAAGTTAAAACATGATGTGTGTGGGTGCATGTATTACCATACTTTCCATGTACTAGTAGATTATTTCATGAAAAAAACCAACATAAATTGTGCATGGTGTATATAAATCTATCTAAAAAAAAAGTCCAACAATAATATTGGATAATGGGAGGTAACTCCAATAATTTAAACTCAAATTGGAGTTCCTTGGAGTTCAGTTACTGTTTTGTTTTGTATATACCAATTTGTGCCAAATCAAGTTAAAATGTATACTTATATTTACTGACGAAAGATATTTCAGTAAGTTTCATTTCATATGTACAGTAAAACCTGCTATAAATTACACTTCAATTAGCAAAAAACTGTCTTGACATGTTTAATTGCCCTTTCATCCCATATTGCAAAACCTTTGCATTTTGAAACTTTCTTCAGATGTCAATTTTCTTTTATACACGTTTAAAATAGACTGATCATTCCATGTATTATTTTTAGACCACAATACTCAAAAATTGGTTTACAGTCGTAGAATTATCACCAGGTTCAGGTCTGTCTCCTGCTCAATTTTGTGAAAAATCTTGACCACATACTTTGAAGTTATTGCCTGTGTTATGTCAATTTTAGCGAATTTCAGTTTTTGTCTTGCTTTGATAAAGTTGATAAAGTAGACTTCGAGGTGTCAGCACTGGATTAGTATGTGATAAGGTCTGTTTATGGGAAACTGCTAGTGGTACATCAGAGGTTTAGTATACTGTTGTATATGCATTTCCATGGCGATTTTTTTTGGCCTGCCCCCTCAGTATATTGACTTTGAAACTTTTGCTCCATTTACATGTGTTACAAAAATGAGATGTGGTATGATTTCCAATGAAACAACTTTCCACCAGAGTTCATGTAAGCAATTATAGGCCACTGTATGGCATTCAACAATGAGAAAACCTTAAACCATTCAGTCAGTTATAAAAGGCACCCACATGAAAAATGTGAAACAATTTAGAAGAGTAAACTCATGGCCTAATTTATAACAAAACAATTTACAAAAAACAATGAACACAAAACATTGAAATAAAGGGAAGTATGACCCAAACGATAATACTGTATTGAGTTTGCTAAGGACATTGATGTACTTCATCAAAACAAAATAATATATAAATATCAAATATTATAATAGAATAATCATACATTGTCTCGAAATATCAATGTTTTTTGTACAAGGCTTAGAAACAGGTAGAAAGCGAGGCTGTGCCGAGCATTTCTACCTGTTTCGAGCCGAGTACAAATAACATTAATATTTTGAGACAATGTATGGTTATTCTTTATATACTGCAACTCTTATAACTGTTCTAAATGAAGTATTTAGGGTAAAAAACCATCATTTCTTAATTTTGAGCGGAAGACGTAAAATTTCCGGGAACCTGTATGTTTTATTGACGTCATAAATAAAACTCTACGGAAACGCATTGTCAACGTCATAAACAAGGTGATATACGGCCAGTGACTGTATATCACACATGAATATACAGTCAATCAAATAGCACAGCTGCAGTATATAAACTATTATAAACTATCGAAGTTTCTAGTTAAATGTCTGCGGCTAGAATGATTTTCAAACACAAAGTTAATTAAAACCCGCTTTCACCTCATTAACATAATAGATATAAGAAGATGTGGTATATATGAGTGCCAATGAGACAACTCTCCATCCAAGTCACAATTTGTAAAAGTAAACCATTATAGGTCAAAGTACTGTCGTCAACACTGAGCCTTGGCTCGCAAACTATAAAGGGCCACAAAAATGACTAGTGTAAAACCATTCAAAAGAGAAAACCAACGGTCTAATCTATATAAAAAACAAGAAACACTTATGAACCAAATCAACAAACGACAACCACTGAACATCAGGTTACTGATTTAGGACAGGTGCTAACAAATACAGCAGGTTTAAATGTTTTAATAGGTCAGAATCTAAATGATTGGTCCATGTAACCATGTGTACAACTACAGATAAAACCACCAAAACATACCATTCTTTAAAACATTCTTTTTAAACCATTGAAACGCTGAAATAAAAATTTACAGAAATAAACTTGCAGTTACTGAAAGAAAAATAATCTTAATTACCTGCTTTTTGCTGCAAATGTAAACTTTAGTCCCTTGTTTGGAGATGAAAAATGTTTCAGGAAATTTTAGGAATTAGGGGCCAAAAAAGGGGCAAAAATCAAGCATTTTTCTAGTTTCATGACAATAACTTGTGTGTAAGTGTATGGATCCTTCTAAAATTGTACTACAAGGTTCCATATGACAAAGGGAAAGCTGGAATTGAGTTTTGGGGGTAATTGCCTGAAACGTTTAGGAATAAGGGGCCAAAAAGGGGCCAAAAATAAGCATTTTTCTAGTTTCCAGACAATAACTTGTGTTCAAGTGTATGGATCTTTCTGAAATTGTACTGCAAGGTACCATACCACAAAGGGAAGGCTGGGATTGATTTTGGGGGTAATTGCCTCAAAATTTTAGGAATTAGGGGCCAAAAAAGGGGCAAAAAACAAGCATTTTTCTAGTTTCAGGACAATAACTTGTGTGTAAGTGTATGGATCTTTCTAAAATTGTACTACAAGGTTCCATATTACAAAGGGAAAGCTGGAATTGAGTTTGGGGGTAATTGCCCAAAACGTTTAGGAATAAGGGGCCAAAAAGGGGCCAAAAATAAGCATTTTTCTAGTTTCCAGACAATAACTTGTGTTCAAGCGTATGGATCTCTCTGAAATTGTACTACAAGGTACCATACCACAAAGGGAAGGCTGGGATTGATTTTGGGGGAATTGCCTCAAATTTTAGGAATAAGGGGCCAAAAAGGGGCAAAAAACAAGCATTTTTCTAGTTTCAGGACAATAACTAGTGTGTAAGTGTATGGATCTTTATGAAATTGTTCTACAAGGTTCCATATCACAAAGGGAAAGCTGGGTTTGAATTTGGGGGTAATTGCCCTAAATGTTTAGGAATTTGGGGCCTAAAAACAAGCATTTTTCTAGTTTCCAGACAATAACTTGTGTTCAAGTGTATGGATCTCTCTGAAATTGTACTGCAAGGTACCATACCACAAAGGGAAGGCAGGGATTGAGTTTGGGGGTGATGAATCATAAGGGGGTTCAAAATTAGGGGGAGGGATTTTTTTTTCCTTTTTTGCCTTTTTTTTCTTTAAAATTTTCCATTTTAAACTGGTTATTTCTGATTTATATATAAAAGCAAATAATAATGATATGGTTTGAATAGGTAAATTAAAAATTTTTAAGTTCTTAGACCACATTCATTCTGTGTCAGAAACCTATGCTGTGTCAAATATTTAATCACAATCCAAATTCAGTGCTGTATCAAGCTTGAATGTTGTGTCCATACTTGCCCCAACTGTTCAGTGTTCGACCTCTGCGGTCGTATCAAGCTGCGCCCAGCGGAGCATTTTATTAAAATTTTCATTACTTTCTTAAACTAGCCTGGATTTGTACCAAACTTGGACAGAAGCTTGTTTATGATCAAAAGATAGTATCTAGAAGGAAATTTTGTTAAAATTTCGTACATGTTTATCTGTATTTTACTTATAAATAGACTCGGTTTTTTCTTGCAGTTTACATTACATACAGTCTGCAGTTAAAGTTTTTGAAACATTTATTAGATTCATAAACTATCCTGGATTTTTACATAACTTGGACCGAAGCTACTCACGATCTAAAGATAGTATCCATTGGAATATTTTATTATTTTTTTCCTCATTTTTGTTAAGCCTGCGATTAACAGCAAAAGTAGACGAGACAACAGATTTTTTTCTACAATATTTATTGAGATTTTAATTTTTGAAGTTTTGGGTTGAAAATGTGAATTTCAAAAATGATTAGCAACACAAAGAATAACAAAACTGTTACGTGAATACAGAGACAGATATAATATTGTATTATATTCTCTGTTGTGTATGAGTTACGTCCCCAGAAACAGACTGACATTTTTAGCTCACCTTGCCCAAAGGGCCAAGTGAGCTTTTCTCATCACTTGGCGTCCGGCGTTGTCCGGCGTCGTCGTCGTCGTCCGTCGTCGTTAACTTTTACAAAAATCTTCTCCTCTGAAACTACTGGGCCAAATTTAACCAAACTTGGCCACAATCTTCACTAATTGGGGTATCTAGTTTAAAAAATGTGTCCGATGACTCAGCCAACCAAAAAAATCTGAAAAATGTGTCCGATGACCCTGCCAGCAAACCAAGATGGCTGCCATGGCTAAAAATAGTACATAGGGTGAAATGCAGTTTTTATACGCCCGTTTATGGGACGTATTATGGTATACCGTTGACCGTCTGTCCGTCAACATGTCGGACATTAACTCAAAAACGCTTTAACCAATTTGCATAACACTTTGGTGAATTGTTTATATCTATTGACGTGAGCTCCCTTTCGTTTTTTTTATTAATTTTAGATTTTACTTTTCCAAGTAATGGGGTTTTATTCAACAAGAAAAGGGGGATTTTCCAGTTTTCGGACAATAACTCGAGAATGCTTTCACCAACTTGCAAGAAATTGTGGTGAATTGTTTATATCTATTGACATGAGCTCCCTTTCGATTTTTAAAAATTTTAGATTTTACGTTTCCGAGTTACAGGGTTTTATTCATAAAAAAGGGGGATTTTCCAGTTTTCGGACAAAAACTCAAAAATGCTTTCAGCAGTTCTTATGAAACTTTGGTGAATTGTTTATATCTATTGATGTAAGCTCCCTTTAGAATGTTATAAATTTTACATTTTACATTTCAGAGTTACGGGGTTTTATTCATTAAAAAAGGGGGGATTTTCCAGTTTTCGGACAATAACTCAAAAATGCTGTCAGCAATTGTCATGACACTTTGGTGAATTGTTTATATCTATTGATGTAAGCTCCCTTTACATTTTCATAAATTTCTAAAATGAAATTGAGAATTAATTGAACTTTATTTGTTTATAGTCTGACAACAGATTTACTAAGTATTGCGCAACAGCACAGTGTATTGCACAACAGCAAGAAATCTTTAATTGAATATAAATTCAATTCATATAACCAATTTCGAGTTCTTTGACTACATTTTTTCAGAAACCTATAATATGTCAAATATTTAATTAGGGAGCTACCATTTGATTTGTAAGGGGGAGGGGGGGCTAGGATGAAATTTGAAAAAAATAGGCAGGAC